AATTATAATAATACAGAACTTATTTTAAGTTCTTAACAAACGATATTTTTTAACCCTTTTCATTTTCCTTGATAACCAAAGTTTCTACAAACTTCTGTGGAGGTTCAATTTGTAAAACAATATCTATAATTGAATTAAAAGCACTATGACCAACGATTCAACTACAAATTTTTACCAAACAAGTTAGCTTAGTCATGAAAGAGTTAACAAGACAGAACAAACTACTGCTGCTACACTAATTAAGACTTTCGTTTCTCCATATGTAGCATATATGTCCTAGATGATAAAGCAGTATACATCCAGAAAGGAACAAGTCCAACGAGGTAAAAGTGATGAAACAACTGGATAACAACTTTTCGTTTCGTCACGTTTTCATCGTTGAGAGAATAGTGTTCACGGCCGTGTCTATCGGATCTAAAGCCAGCACGGAAGCATTGACCTTACAATGGCCGGGCTTTGCGAGATACTTTTGCACTCTGTTCCCAAATTTCTACTCCGATTATGATCAAACCACACTGTGAAAATTTCATGAATGGTGTACCTCAAAACAATTTACACTTGGAAGACGAAACTTGAAGAATTTTGCAATTATGGATTGCAAGGTTTGCAAGAAAACCATATTCATAATTTAAAATATTTAATTTAATACATGAGTGTAATAAAAAAAAATGGCATCCTATACCATTTGAAATAGAATTCTTTATCTTGAAATGGCAAATTTTGCTTTAAAAAATATTTCTTATTAATTATATGAAATAAAAATAAAAATATCTGATATAATCCTCTATATTTTATTTCGTTTTATATTTAGCAAATGACATCAGAATATTTCTCTTCTTCCAAGAACAAAGTGCAAAGAGGCTCGAGGTAGAAAGCGCCAAAACAAGTACATATGATAAAGTCAGAATTCACTTATTTCTCGACTAATTACGACTAGTATTGTATGCAAAAATGGTGTTCCGCACAGAGGTCCCTAAACGTTCGTGGAACTGGGAGTTAGATTATGGATCGAAGGCAAAGAGGAAAAGGTTACAAGGGATACAGAATCGGGGCCATTATATTATTCGGCTCTCGACTGCACGTTTTCCAGACGGTGCAGACGTAGTTTTCCGAATGAAATATACGAAGATGGCCGCAACGTGCCAGGCTTCCGGATTTCACCAAACTTCTTGCTACGTTTCGCCACGATCGGACCAGGTCCGTCGAAGAATTGTAACCTTCAGTAAAAAGAAAAATCAGCTCTTTGTCCTTGAGATATGGCTTGCTAGCCAACGAAACGACCAACCTATCAGAGCTAACTGCATCTTTATATTCTGACTGCATCGTACGCGGCTTTTTGTTCCTGTCAGACTTCCGCTTTCTCCATGAATGAGAATTTTCAGAAAATTATTCTGCGATAGCGGTTACAAATCGAAGATTGAAAAGAAAGAAAGGTGGAACCGATGTTCCTATTTCAACACAAATGTTCTCCTATTAATCTGGATTTAACCCTTTATACTAGAAAAACGACTCACATTTGCTATCTGGTTTAATACAGCTACGTGGAAAGTAAGTTTACAGGTAATTTACATTAAAAAAAAATAAAAATAAAATATAGATCAAGTTTTCTACATCGTTTATACCACGTACATAGAAATTTTATCAATAGGGAGCTAAATAAAGCTTCTTGATAACCCTATCTCCTAAATAACGCAGATTCTGATAAATATTGATAAAAGTGGTTTAATCTACGTACTCAAAATTTGATATACCATAATTTAAATGCTTGCAGTATTTTTGTAAATATTTGATTCAAAAATATTGATTTATCCGCAATACAATGAAAATAACTTTTGTAAATAATTGTGTAAAGTAACGGGGCGAATAAATTTGTAATAAATTATATCTCGATGGAGATAAATACAAAATTGAAACAAACTGCAAAACTTTTACACGTTTTATAGAAAATTCAGAAATATGTACACCTCATTATGAGTAATAAATCGACAACGTTTTAAACGATACTACAACATTGTTCTAAATATACTCTGCTTTTTACACTAATACGTAATCAACAAGTTCTGCAGATTTGCATTATCAATGATATACGTGACGTTATCAGCATCTGCGATACATCTAACAAATCAATATGTACATAAAATATCTGCATAAATTACCGGGAAAAACGAAGCGACCCAGTTTCCGTGAAGTAAAAATCAAATATTGTATCAGCATTTAATCGACGATGCAAAGAAACCCAAATAATCTCTACATTTCTCTCTCTTTTATAATTCCCTTTCAGTTTCGAATAACCAACGCAATGAAGCGCTCGCGTGTATGCAACTATCACCTACATCGTCCACTGCCGCCTGATTGGAACTTCCGGCGGAGGGTAATTTTACGATTTACACTACGGAGAACAGGATCTCTCGTTCTATCATTTTTATTCGGTCAAAGACAGAAATTATTCACCGATGTAAGCGGGAAACGCGTGAATGAAGGTTCGCGATGAATTAACTATTCAGGAACGCGTGATAAATCGAAGGGCGCGCACGATTCAACGGGCACCTTTAACCGGAAACGCTGTGTTAGCCGTAATCTGTTTCATAAATGTTCCAAGAAACTTTATCTGTGATTTCTACGAATTCGTGACTCATGGAGTTCACTATCTGCTTTCCTTTCCAAAAATAAAACGAAGATTTAAATGTATCACAAAATGAAAAAAAGTAAAACTAAACATAGGGTGAACGTTCAATAACGATGTCGGGTATACAAAGAACTTCCGTAAGTTTTGTTTCCTTTTTAAAAGGACGAACGTATAGTTGTATTTTAACCCGTTAACTGAGCATGACGAATTAACTAGTCAGTCGATTAAATAACCTTCGATAAGTAATAAAGTATTTTTATCAATATTATCTTTTGAATTGAAAAATAACCTAGTTAAAAAATTAAAAATACGAAAGTTCGCTAAATCGATTAATTCCAAAAAAGTGAAGTATGAATGCTATGGCACTAAAATTTTAATTTAATTTGTGAACGACTCGTATACTTAAAAATATGAATCAAAATTTTATTACTGTTCTTTAATAATTCAACAATAAGTTAAAAATATTGAACTTTGTTACTGAATCGAACAGTCTCGATTAAAGCAACAAATACTTTCGAAAAATAAACGCGCCGCTTACTGTTGGCTCCAAGAGCATCAGTGGAAAACGCGCGAGACACGCTCTTCGTGAAAGGATGATTCACGAGACCCGGAGCGGACGCACACGCACACAAGCGCGTACGGTTAGGCGCGTATGCATACGCATGCCAGACGTTAAGTAAAACTGTATCATGCATTTTAAAAGCGTCGTCGCATCGCCACGTAATTACCGATCAACGACCGTTTACCCTGACACATTGAAAGGCTGTTGCACGTAAGAGAATAGACGTAAATTTATATGGAGTAAAATGCACTTACCGCTCTCGATGTAAGGAACCAGCAACAGCAACAGCAGAAAGAGAACATATCCACACGTATCACTGATCATCGTAACCATATTCTCTCTCTCCTCGTGAGAAGCCGTTGTCCAGGTATTGGCACCACCTCGCGAATACGCGCGAACAACAATAAACAAAACAAAACAACAACGCGACGACGCGAGGAAGTAGCGGTTTCGAACGGTAGTCACCGTAGAGGACAACGGAAAAACCGATCTCACGGTCGGTCAAAATAACGTTGGCACGTATATACGCGTTACTGGGTAGCCGTGATGCTCGGCGATCAAAGATGAACCGATATCGCGAGTATATTCGCCACTAAGACCGCGTAGCAACTGGGATAGCACAGCACACACTGGATCGTGTTTTCACTGACGTTACGTTGTAAACGCGTTCCGTTGTTCGCGCGCGCAACTTCTTCGGGGCAGCCGAGTCATAAGCTTTTGTAGAAAAAAGAAGCAGCTGAATTATGACGGACGGCCACGGCACACGACACACGACACGTCTCGGCTCAGGGTTGACAAAGCTTACGCCATCGTTTTTCCACCGATATTCATCACTTTCACGCGGACGGTCCTTACCACCAACGATCCGCCCCTCGTAACCTTCTTTCCTGTCGCACGATATTCGTCTCCTTCGATCCGCGTATCCTCCTCCGCGATGTAATTGATCTGTGCTGTTCGTTTGGCCGCGCTGTCTAGCCTGGCGTCGTAACAGCTGACCGCTCTTTTTCTCACACTCTTTTACGAGACGACTCGAGATTTAGCAGACGCATCGCAGCAGCAACAAAACACACACACGACGTCGGCCAGTTGCCACCGTCGTCACTGGCAGTCCTACCACCGCTGAAACGACGACTTCCCTGTCACAATCATGGCGCTCCTGCGTTCGTTCGTCGACTAACCGCTAGGGAGGGACAGCTGCCGCTTCGCGCAGCTACCGCGGGTCACGTGACCCCCCACCAGTTGCGCCGTAGTTCAAATTTCGAACGTGCTTTGCGCAGCGTCTCATTTACAGGATATTCTGCATAATTATATAAAATAAAGAAAAATGTTATTAGGAAAAATTAAATAGTGTCGGATGGAGCATCCCCTGATGGATAGGATAACTTTTGAACTATTAAATTTTTTACCTGGGTACCTTTATACTTTTTTGTACAGAATTAATATACGGTTCAATTGGTGTATAGCAAGGTATAAATTTCCAATAAAATATTTTAATGATTTCAAACTTATCTGAATTTTTTAAAATGAAATTTTGGACTTTGCTATACACCAATTGAAGCGTTTTTTAATTCTTTATAAGAAGGTATTAGGCACTTCGGTCGAAAGTGGCATGTGTATCTTCTATGTTCAACTGTATAACTTCTATGTTTCTACTTTTAAATGTAACAAGATTATAAATAAAATAGTTTATTTTATATTGAACTGAGCATTTTAATATTTTATTAACTCTCTAGTTGATACTTCAAGAAATAAATATACGAGGTAATGTTTCATACTGTGAAAGGTATCATATTTGTACGGTTGATGGCGTTTCCGGCCATTATGGCGCCCGGGAGTTTCAAACGTCAAATATGGATTAAATTCTTATGTTACAAAATCAATTGTTAAATGATTTTCTTCAACCATGCAAATAATGCAGAAATTAAAATAAGGAAGTTAATAAACAAAAGTTTCCTTCTTCATTAATGAGAAATTCATTATGAAATTGATAACAATGTAGTTAACCTATTATTAACTGTAAAATTAATCTTCAACTACCTACTCAAAGTAAGAAATTATTCGCACGTATTTGTACAGAAGAAGTTGCTATGTTTATAATTCCTTTCAGATGCAGATTAAAATTTATATAACGTGATTTTTTCTTCCTACTATTCATTACAAATGGAATTGAAATTAACCGTGGAAAACTTCATGCTACGTGTAGTTAGATATAAACAATGACAGAGGATCCACTTGTGAATACAAACCGGCATTCTAAAAATACTCATCAGAATAACGAGGAGGGAATTAATTACAAACGTACACAAACGATTACTCACGATCCACCCGCGCATAGCTCAAGTAAATTTCATTCTGTAAAGGCAATTACGGTACTTGCAATTGGTATTAATTTCATTTCACAGCAACTCAACCGGTATCTGAGAGCGATGAAAATCCGAAGAAGACGAAGAAGAAGAAAGAAAAATTGAAAAAGCAGAAAAAAGGGAAGGAAAATGTAGCCGCTAATACTGCTTCGAGTTCGGCTACGAAAAAACAATTCAAGAATCCAGCGAAGAAATTGTTTCAAGCTTGTGCACAATGCTGCAGGAGAAAAAAAGCTAAGATATCGAAGTCGAAGACAAGTTTTGTCGGGTACGTTAAAGAAAAATCCAAGAAATGTAGAACGAAGAAAAAGGGAAGTAAACAAGCAGCTGCTGCGACAGTAGAACATCCGGAGGAAAAAGATAAGCGAAGAGTAAAGATCAAGGATTCGAAAAAGGCTGAAAGGAAAGGCAGCAATAAGGAAGCGGAAGAAGAATATCCTTTGAATGTTCCTCTATCTAGTCCACCTCCCCATCGAGCAGATCAAAATGGACAAATGAAGTTAAATGAAATTCTAGGGATAGACGGTCAAGATTTGACAAAAAGTTGCTGTTTTCTGTGTGCTAAAAATGCGATGGCTATCGCGGCAGCAATTTCCGGTCAGGAGGGAAAATCTCATGCGTCCATTCAAACTACCGTTCATTTTAAAGAAACATCCACCACGGATAAAGGTTCTAGCCCGATGATGTATGTTCGAACTGTACAATCGTCTGTTAAAGTCAAGACACGTGATATGGGTACTGGTTATTCGGAGAAGAAAAAAAAGAAGAAAATATCCAGACCGAAATTAAATTTCAAGAGGCTTAGTATCATTCCAAAAATAAAGTTTCCCGGATATCCGAAAGTGCGAAACGTTGCTTGCGGAACAGATAATAATAATGTACCACAATGTAGAGCAAGACGTGGGACTCACTGTTTAATGGAAAATAAGTGACATTTATTACTAAACGATCAAAGCATAATTGCTTGAGGAAAAGTTAAATCTTGTGTACTGATATTGGAAGAAAAAGGATACAGGAAGAAACAGCAACTTTTTAATATTGCAGATACATATTGTATCTGTCGAACTTTAAAAACAATTTTAAAGCCTGTCTTTTGTGAAATTGGATTTACGGCTGTACGTCGCGTGAGTGATAGGTTAAAACTGACTTTAACTGTTGACGAAAGTTCTTAGAAAGTGTCTAAGCTTGTCTTCTAGGAAAGTCAACCCAAATAACGTTCCTTGGAGCTTTGTCTACTCTAGATTTAGCGAAGACCTATCGACTAGAATAATACTATACATCTTTAATGGACTCGTGTGTCTAACGATGATTTTAAACTATTTTTATAATCTAATTCTGATTTCATTAGAATTTTAAAAATATAGCCATCTGCATTCATTAATATTTACAACTGTTTCTATACAATCTGCAGCTTTTAATATAAATTTATTTCAGTTACACATCCAATTTATGTTTTGCAAAGCAACATTTGTAGTATCTCCAATTTTTAATTTATTTGATTGTATTGCTTAATTACCAGTTACAAATGAATAAATAATTTCAATTCCTAAACGACTGTTCGATTTCTTTTCGTTTCGAAATTCTGTTCGATTTTCTTTCTAACTATAATAAAACACTTTTTACTGAACATCCACCGCGTGCAGCAAATTCACAGGGACATGAAAGTCAGTTTCTTAAAGCTCTATTTATTATAGTCTCGCAGTTTATGTACATAAAACATCTGCCTCGTACGTTTCCGGTAACTTATGTTCATATCCTTACGCTTATGAGTCTAATGAAAAATTTCAACCCTTTGGCTGCAGTACATTCTGATCAAAATCCATCAGTACTGAAAGCGTATCATTATAATTAAATATAAGATGACAATTTATCCTACGTTGCGTTGGTTTGATAAATCAAAAACTGTGTTGAATCGAGTAATGTACCCCTTTCGGTCCTATAAGAGCGTATATGTACGTCATTCGAGGTGAAAGGGTTAACAGAACCTATGGCAATGTACCACGGTGGTATCGTACGAAAATCATCGTTTCCTGTTACAACCAAGTGGAACAACTTTCGATTGCACTTTTTTCTCCGCCAAGCTCACGCTCGGTTAAGTAGTTCGGATCAATACTAGTTCAGACAGTATCCGGCGAGGATACCACAGGTCGGGATGGTATCGTCGTCGCGTTAACATTGGCGTCATCTGACGATGGATTTCCAAACACAAGGGGTGCGGTATAGTAGGGGAGCAAAGGGTATTGTGCCGGTGGAAAATACGTGGGTGGAAACAACCCTTGTCTCTGGGCTATCTTCAATCTTGAGGTAAGTTGTTTCTTCCATTTGGTGCGCCTGTTTTGGAACCATGTTTTGATTTGTACCTCGGTTAAGTTTAGCGATTTTGATAGCTCCATTCGTTTGCTTACACTCAGATACTTGTCGATCTGTAACAAAGATTTGTATGTAAGCTTATTTATTATAAATACTTTATTTATTTATTTTTCTGCTTCAGTTACACCAAACATTGAAGTTATCTAAATTCTACCTTATAATCCCCAATAGGGATTACAAATTAACAAAATTCAAATGTATTAAATTAATATTAACTTGTTATAATTTTTGTAGGAAAAGAGGATTTGTTTAACAAAAGATACCTTAAATTCTGATTCCAGCCTTTCCAGCTGTTTCGCACTGTATGCCTGTCGTGGTTTTCGATCGATCCCCGGCTTCCTGGACCGTCTTCCACTCGGTTTGGGTGCTGGGCAAACAATTAAATGCTTCACAGAATTCGATTATCCTTCGCACACTGGGACGAGCAAATTTTACCAATAACCAGAAACATTTCAACCAAGTTAAATATTAATTGAATACCATCTTTGAGTTAGTGACAGTTGATCGTGACAGACCTTCCCGAAGATTTATGACGGTGATAATAAAAATTTAACATTATAATGATGCTTCTTAATTGTTCGGCTAACTTTGTCAGCTTGTACTCAATTACCACTTTCTCCGGTACGGTGTGCTCATTGGACAGGGACTAAAGTTACCGTGCGTCTCTAAAACATGTGGGATTGTTTGAGGAACGTGTGACATCTTACTGTCAATACGAGCCAGAACGTGGCAAAGAGTTGTATAAACAGTTTATACCGAGGAACGTTTGGATGCGATTATCATTATGGTGCAAAGAAGTTCCACACATTTCCGTTCAAGAGGTTATATGAGGTATTATACCGTTGTTAGTCGCATTTAGATAACATGACACCGCAGTGTATCTCGCGTGAAAAATCAGACAAAGGAATCATTAAGCAATTTCTACAAATTTTGGGTACAAAAAAAAGTGTAAATGTTGCAAATTTCATTGCTAATCATACAGTATCTTTTCTAGGTATATTTCAATAGGTGGTTGTAATAGGTTCTGTCAACGTTAAATACAAATTTGTTGTTTAAAGTTGACTAAGTTTAAATAGAGTTTTATGACTTCTTTTTCTATCTTTTTTTCCAGTAATAAAATTTTCAATTTTGTAAAAATCCTTTTCATAAAAAAGGACACAAATAATTTACATGCATGATTCAATAAAATTTGAGGAAAAGCAAATAGTGTATTTCCAAAGCTGATGTCAAAATTTGTCTGTTTCCATATCCTTGTTTTTCATTTCTTACCAGCGTTACAACACTATTATCCTTCCATTCAAAATTTTATTCAATTCTGAAAATCATGATAATTTTACGTGAAAATAGAAATTTGAAACTTTCACAATTATTTGAATTAGTAATTATGACATTTTGGGTTTCCATCGGGTTGAACTTATGATTGTCTTGCCGACGTTTTAGAAAGGTTTACAGTTTACCTCAGCCCTAAAAGTCCTAATGACTAAGTTTGATTGATTGCTTAATTTTTTAAATTGATATTTGCCTAAATGGAGTCCTTAATAAATCATATTTCATGAAAAGCTCTATGTTTGCTCAAAATGATCGCTCCTCCTATCTCATATTAATTGCCTTCTTCACAGTGGTGTGAATTAATCGGGACAAATTCGTTGTGCAAATCGGTCATGTTTCCTAGAAGACGAAAGACTATTGGCCAAAAAGCGAACACAGTGACGAAGAACGAATACCTGCGAGCCAAGATTTACGAGTGTACGGAGACATTTAGCACCTCCCCGGAAGGTGGTTAGAGTAACGTCGTTGATAAATGGGTTCCTAACAGCATGGCGGATGGTAGCGAAAGAACAGAAACAACGATGGCGGATCGTAATCCTCTGGCAAAAATTATTCACGTCTTAACATCCTCGCGAATATTCTACTTCAATATCCTTTAAATCTCTTTTTATTCATAGAACCCACTAACAATTACTTTTCCATTTAATTTCAGTTTCAATTAATTAAATTGAAATTAAGAAAGAAATTGCAAATACAAAATTGGAAGCCATGGATTTTATAATTAAATCTTCGGTTTAATTTCTTGATTCTTATTTTGCTAAATGGAGTTTATGGTGTAAAATGAATGAAACGGAATTAAAAGATGAATCGATAAATTAAATTTGCACAAGCTTGACATCCGAGCAACTAAATATTATACACCTGGCCGGTAACACACCGAAACATCATGGGGATGCAACACCCCAGCTGTTAATGTGACGTTCGCGTGCCGAAAAGCTGTTACCATAGGCGCCTCGAGTAATGTCCAATATTCCCTTGGAGCCAAGAAAGAACCCGACGATTTCGCTCTTCTCGCTATTGTTCGCGAAAATGGAATTACGCCGATAAGTTATTACGAGCGGATAATTAGAGTCTTTTGTTGTCACAGAAAGAAACACGTTGTTGTTTCAAAGAGAACTGCGAAAACTTCAGACCTTCGATGCAATTTTTTTAAACTTCTCACGCGATATTCTCTCTCTGATACGGATAGATTGGTTTAATATATAATTTATATAAGCGCTTTTACCTTGTAATCCAAACAATTGGCCAGGTTTCGTTTGAGCGAACCAACTGTTGTATAAAAGGGATGCAGAAGCTAGTGACGTCGCTGAATATCCCGAAGGATCCGAAAGTGTCACTTCAGAGTAGGATAGTCCTGTTGGAGCGTACAAACTGGCATTTATATCTATAAAAATAATGATTCTTAATATTGCATCTGAAAGATAAGATAAATTAACGTGTACAGAATGTCCTAATAATTATAGAAAGTACTTTAACAATTTCTTAATAATTATTGTTGCAAGAACAATATCGTGGAATAACTAATGAAAAATTGCAAGCATTAATATTATATTAATTTCATAAAGTAGCAAGTGGAAGATTTAATATATAGAGTGCCATCGGTGGCCGACGTTGCCTCGAATTTTGCCTAATCTCCTAATTAGTAAAATAAGAAAAGAATGCAAATTTTGAACAGCATCAGTATTATATAAATAATGCAAGGTACTAATCTAAAATCTAAAATTTGAAAATTAACCAAGCGTGCTCTTAATATAATTAGAATTTTAAGAAGTCGAAATCAACCCTTGGACGGCGGACCACGAAGAGAGCTCCAATTTGAATTTAATTTTGTACTTTCCCTACTGCTTAACGTATTAAATAAAAGATATTGTAAAATAATGATCAAATAAATGTCATTTGTCATATAAATTTTACCAGAATGTGTAGCCGGCATCGCAGTGGGTCTAATAAACTGACTTCCATCCATTTTCTCGTCCCTTTCTTCCGGTTCCTCTTCTTTGTCCTCGAAGCTGTTCAAACCAGAGGATACTTCATTATCCTTTTTCTCGTGTCTTCCAAGAATATTGTCAATGGTAAAAGCACTGGAGGCAGCAACCGGTGAAGAGTTCTTTCTTTCAACTTGCTTCCTGAGATTGTCCTTGTAACTTTCATTGCTCGAATCAGACGCATATTCCATCGTGTCCTGATGACTACCCGGTGACTTCACAAATCTCTCACGATTTTCTCTCGTTCGTCCGTAAGCGTCATCCACAATATGAATCTTTTTATCTTGCTGCATGGACGCTCGTCGAAGATCGTACATCTCTTCGTTCACCTTGCTGTAATTTTGATAAAGCTCCATCGTCGACAATGTCATTGGACTCTGTTCAAACTCCACCTCTTACGAGTTGCACTTCACGATCATTGTTTAAAATTATTTTACACCTCGTACACCTAATTCTTGCAAAGTATCTTCGCGCCACTGGTAATGTTCCAAATTTTATACACAAATATGTTCATATCTTTGAACACTACGTAGAATATTTAACGAACAGATGACACGAGGTTCATCGAGCTTGCATCTGACTAATCTTCCCTCACGTTTAAGCTCTAATCTGCCACTAATCTCCCTGTCAACCTTCCGAAAGCAAGTACTTGAAAATGTATGACAGGTGGCACGTGTCTGTGGTCCAGAAGGACCTCCCAGCCTCCCCACCAGCAGCTTCTGAGGGAAGGTCATCCAGAGATACTGGAGGAACATCTCGCACCGGTAACCCCCACTCGTTTTCTGTTACCTGATCGGAGTAGGGGTCAAAAGCTTATTCACACTGGTTTAACGTTGCTTTTGCTATCGTATCCCGCGATAAATCGATAGAATGCCTACTCCGCGCTAAACGGTTTTTGGACGTCGTTTCCTTCATAATTTATGTTTCGAATGAACGAGGTCCTTCGGACATCGACGATGTTGGTACAAAATGACTGTAAAATATTTTTAATTAATGCCAGTGCATTTTGTTTGATTTATATCAGCTCTGTGTTATTTGAGGAGGTGAAATAAAAGATGAGGTTCGTAGATGTGCCAACTCGTTCGCACCTGTTCATCGTTCAGGATTATTTACAGAGTCTCTTCCTTGCGAATTCCGTCTGGTTTTCGCTATTCAAATTTCGAGGTATTATGTGCAGTAGTGTTCAATGAATATCATTACACTCGTAGAAATTATTTAATCATTTAAAGAATTAAATTAGTCGCTGAATTTCAATGAAAATTATCGAAATGCTTTATTGTCGAACGGTTCGATTTTGTCGGATTATAGTCATCTTTGCACGAATTATGGTTGTCTCGTAGAATACGTCGTTTTAATACTATGATGTGCGCAGTAGCGAATTTCATGCAGCCGAAAAGAGTTCATCAGGGGTGAGATAGCGATGCTGCGATTGGTTCAAGAAGCGCATGCTCTTCCGCAGCGTCCGCCTTCTTCGACCCCTCTATCTCAGGGTTTTATGTCAGCAAACTAATGGTTCTTTCTTTATCCCATATACACCCTTGCAATGGATAAACGCTTCTGCCATACGGAGAACGGCGTGAAAAAGTACCGCAAAACACTTCTTCACGCGTTTACTAAACTCTGCTCAGAGGTTCTCATTCGCAGATTCATTTGACGAATCTGTAATTAAAAAAATTGCAAATTAGTCAGAAATTTTTGAAATATTTTATTATCTGGAAAGCTACATTTACAAATTTTAAATATACGAGGAAACTGTTAATTCCCTTAGAATTTGAAAATTTTATATTGTCTACGTACATTAATTATTACATAAAATTTCAAAAACTCTAATTGCTATTTTTGGATCAAATAAAAATCAGATATTAAACATCAGAACATTTTTTTCAAAAGCGAGCCTGAAGAAATTCATGTAAACATGTGGAATTTGAGATTCTCGGCTCTCTATCTTGGTACACTTTATCGAACCATACAAGCTGTTTCCGTTTACGGACTTCAAATGCCGAGCATTTTCCGCGGAAGCGATACCATTAGTTTCCGGGCCAGATCGAGCCAATCTCAATGTTCGGTCTTATACATAGTGAATCCATTGAGTTCCATACTGCAATGATAAAGGACCAATGGCGATTGTGAGTGCTTTCTATCGTGGATTCGTATCATCAATTCTTTCCTCGATCAACGTCCGGTCGTTTTAGCTGTGGAAATTATTTTGTGATACTTCAAAAGAAGTTACTCGTTAGAATGATACAATAAGACGTCAATTTTCTTTAATTTATTTTCTTCAACAATTTGTCGTAAATGATATGCAACTATTCGTAGTTACGAACGTTCTGAAGAAATTTGAGCGTGCAAGTGACGAGAACAAATATTAGGCCCCGGTCACATGAAACGAAATTCCGTGCATCAGCTTTTCGTTAGGTGTGAAAGAAGGAAGTAACGACACGGTCGGCGCACATGGAATTTCACGGACCCGTATCTACGCTTCTTCCAGGAAACCATTACGGACCCTTCATCTTTCAAAATATTTGGAAATCAGATGGCTGTTTGTTTTCCAGAGGACCAGTCAATAATTTGCATCTGCATGAGAAAAATTATCGCGATAACGTTCACGAAGCCGTTAGCCATCAAATTAGAACTACGTGAAAAAATGTCACTCTTCTAATAAGCGCAACCCTTGGATGGTGAATACTGGTATTGCACAATTTTTATTTCGTTTTCACGAAACTGAAACTTTCGTACGAACGATCTTATTCGCCTATATGGACTTTACTTTTGCGTTTGATGCACGCTGCGCCCCGTAATTGAAACGATCAATCAAACACCTGAGAAAAGGAGGGTGTACTAGCGCGCGCACAAATTGCCGTGGGACGTTTTCACACACTGTGAATTTATTTGTACTATACTTCCATTGTGAGCAGCATTTGTGAAATACATTTATCTCATTAAAACTTACTCTGTCATTGCCTGTATTTTCGACTAAATTTCTTTCAACATTTTTGAAATTATCTGCCATCTACTATTTACAAATAGATCAGCAAAAAGAAATCTATATTTTATAAATATTTGACTCGTGGATGGTGGGCCATTTGACAAAGATAATTCAAATTTAATTTTATAAAATTTCCAGCTACCCATAATGAAAATATCTTTTTAAATTTTCTTATGATTTTTGATAAATATTCAGCTGTACGTCGATGTTCATTAATGGCCCACATGCAAACGAAACAAATTTTCAAAGAACGTATTTGGACACATGGAGTAATCCCATATCGTTTGGTGACACCAGCAGCCGATTTACACGTAATCCGACACCTATGATTAAATACCTTTATTAAAAACCACTTACAACGCTCTTATGAATGTTTTAGGAGCAGAGGGTTGCCAGGATGGCTCGGATGGGTCGGCGAGATGAGGTAATGGGGGCTTTGTTCCCCTGGGAACTCGCTCACCTGTCTAATATCTCGCGAGAGTGGCTATATCTGTGCCCATACCAATAGCAACCAGTTTATACACCAGAGCTTACTGAAAATTAATCGCCCACTTTTGAAAGAATTCTTGCTATCTCTTTAATCTTCTACATCCGTTTCCGACAGAAGAGATACTTCTTTTCCTGTCATATTGTAACTATTTTGAAACTGTACTTATATATATTTAAGACCAAACTATGATATTTTATGGAAAAGCTATTAGGTTGGTGGAGGTGAAGTAAAAGGATACATTTGTGAAATTTTGGTAACAATAATAAAAGAAGTTCATTACAAATTAAAAATTGAAAATTACGAGCTTTATAATTAAATTTTCGAGTATAGTATTTCTAAAGGTAGGTGTTCTATTCTCTCACGATGTTTACTCTCAAGTGAAGACCTACCCCAAAATAAAAAGATCCTCATTTCTATTATTCAATTTAGTGTTTCTAATTGTAAGTAAAAGAATCCCCAATACAAGTAATAGATTCTTATGAAAATTCAATGTGTCAGAAATGCACATAATTCTCTTTTATTTAAGAAAAGTAACTGTTACCTCGAACGAAGAGCTTTGTCAACGCTACTTAAACAAGTGTACGGTTAAAGCAATTATTTCTAGCAGTTGAACGTCTTATCTTCAGAAGCGTGTCTCCGTTTTGTCAGTCTTCTTCTTGCTGGCACTAAGGAACACAAAGATTATACATTCAAATGAATTCACTTACAAAAGTTCAAATTCTCTTAGTTTTTATTTTAATCACCTCAATGGTCAGTGCAATTCTTGGGCAACAGTGTATCGACGACGGAAACGAATTCTGTCTCGATGAAAATGATATACTATCCGTGGATCTTTTGCCTGGAACTTTTTTATTTGCTGATCAAATGAACAAAAATGCAACGAGGAATCCTGAAGAGGAAATGGTGGATGGATCGATTCACAATGCACTGAGTAAAATGGAATATCACAGGCGAGTTTAATTCTAATTCTTCAATTCAAAATATCAAAAAATAATTTGTAAAACATTGTCTAGTTTAGTGGAGTTTTAAAAGAGTTTGTATTTAGTGATTTGTAATATCAGGAAAAGGATGAACGAGTATTTGTGTCACGGTTATATGGCTGAAGAAATTGTGAAAATGATGAGCACGCCTCGAGTTAAAAGACGCCTTAGTATATCAGAAAAATCCGAATTACATGATTTGATGGATGACGATAATGTTACTATTCATGATAAATTGCTGTCTGATGAAGGAAGTGTGAAATACAAGAACTGGTTGCAGCGGTAAGTATTGCGAATTATTAATAAAATTGAAGGGTTGGACAAACAATTTTCAAATAGTTTTTACAATTTCTGTAAAATTAGTAAAAATGAAGCGAGCTGGTTCTTGCATTTAATCTTTCAATTAATTTGTAAAGATTTTTTAATTTATCTAACTTGTTAAAAATACATTTGTCTATGTAGTAGGACTACTTTAGACGACGTGTATCAACATTACACTCCCCATAAGAAAATGAAAAAGAAACAAGGAGTGTACGACAATGATTTTGAAGAATTCGATGGGGAAGTTACGGGTTACGCTATGCAGGCTCCTTTACCATCTGGTAAAGTTGGTTTTTACGAAGATCAACACGATCAAGATGGTAAAAACTGCTCATTAACAATCTTCTACAATTATAAAAACAGAAAAACATATGTATATTTTTATTTTTTTAAACAGATCACATGTTGTCGTCCTCTTCGGGACAAAATTTTTATTATGGCCTCGGTTATGGCCATGGTTATGGCCACGGTGGTCACGGTGGCCATTTCGTGCATCACGAAACATTTCCAGCTATACACGAAGAGCACTATTACACAGAACCCATGTATCAAGACCACGAAGAAGAATCTCACAAACCCTCTTATTACAAAGGAAAAGGAAATGATTTGTCGATAAAAGATTTTTTCGAAATTGCACTCACTGCTCTCGCGTTTTTGGCTTTTGGCTTGTTTATTATTCAGCTGCTAATGAATGCTACGGTATAGTATACCGATAAAGATATACCGAAGTTTCACATCTTCTTTCTTTATTTTGGATATTGTTTTTTATAGGCTAACATGAACACAACCACAGTCACAATGGCAACCGCAGCTAAACGTCTTAAGAGGGATGCAGGTTCCTTACCTTTTTCGTACGCGAGTAACGAGGAATTGAATGAATTGTCTTACAATGTGCTGAGGAGTATCGAAGCTGCTCTAGTTGCTGATTTAGATTCCGGAAATTGCATCCGAAGGATCCTCTGCGAGGACAATCGACACTCCACGCAAACACGTGATGCACGCAAAATTTGGGTGCCTGTTTGGAGGTAAGATGCAAAAAATAATTAATTTCGAATTTTTGTTTTAGGTGTAAGCTTCATTTATCCGAATGAAACTACCCCTATCTCACATAGTAAACATTTTCCTTACAAATTTCCAATTTATTATTATTGAAAATCATTTAAACGAACGTACATACATTCGATAAACATGGAATCAACCTTTTCCAGTCTAGGAATGAGTTGGATATCCGGCAGAGTGTTGAAAGGTTCTCCCTGGTCGGCAATGCTGGACTCTGTAAAGGCTTCGGTTCTAGGACTAGGTGGAGCCGACTGTGAATCCTTGTATCCTGACTGCGATCTTAAAAAGGAAAGGATCAGAAGGCGCAGAAGGCGTAGAAAATAATTTCGTATTTGTTTATTCAAATCGTCGTAGCGTAAATATTATTTATCGACATTTTTATCACTGTTATTCATTTACAAGGATCAATGTTCAAATGGCTTACTCATCAAAGTCCATGATGACTGTTTCCAATGACAACCGTAGTTGCAGCATTTTCAGTCCGTTTCATCTGTTTGCTTGGCTACCACATCTCGTGGAAGTGGTAATAGTGAAGCATACGTCGAACCTGATGGACAAACATGGAAGACGTTTTCTTCCTTAACTTCTTGCAGAGGACGTATGTTTGACAGTATGGGCACATTTCTTTCGTTGTGCAGTGTACGAAACTCGGCGATCTTGATTGGAAAGATTATGAAAGGATCTGAACACTAAAATATGTGTATCAAAATTCATTTGAGAAAATTTACTTGTTTAGAGGTAATTCCAATTGGTTCTCTGCAGATTAGCCACAGAATTCTGTGCACATTTTCCGCTGTTACTATTGGACCCCAGTATAAAAAGTAATCTTCTTTGAATGGTCTTAGAATTTCTGTTAGAAATCTGGGAACTAGGCGAGCAGAGGAATGGGCTTCTTGAATAGAACTCAAGTTTTTTACAATTTCTTCCATGAACTCATTTGGTCCATCCTGTAACTAAATAGGAAATAATTTAATCCGATGGAGATTTTGGTAAATTTATACATTTTTACCTTAAAAAAATATACTAAAACTATGGCTCCGTCGGGTCGTCGAAGTGCTACATCCAATGAATCGTACTCGTCCTTAAAATGTACAGCATGGAGTTCCATGGGCATTCTTTTAAAAATGATCTGATTTAATAAAATTTTCGAGTTGCAAGTAATTACTATGTTAAATAAATTTGTTGCATATTTAAATATATATCTCATACACATTAATTATTCAACGTGTTAGTTGCACATAACTCATCAGTTTAATAATAAAAATGATAAAATATGTGCATTTCGAACCTTGCACCATCGACGGTATGTTCACTACCAATCATCTCATTTTCTCCCCAATGAAAATGAATTTGTGAGATCGTGTAATTTCCCGGCAATGGTCCATTGGAAATATAAGGATGTCTCTCTTGCCATTTTGCGCTGATTATCACTATTATAAAACAATATTTATTAAGAATAGATCTTGGCAAATGAATCATTAGTAGAAACAAATATTACCTGTATATCCTGTATTAGTAATTTTCAATTTTCGTGGAGCTATATCGATACCGTTCCATTCCAAAGGGTTCAATTCAATTACTTTCATATAACTAATGTCCAAATTGATTGGAGATCTTGAATTATCGTCATTAAGACCCAAACTTTGGATTAATTTAGCATTTTGTATTTTAATTTCATCCGTTTCTAACAAGATACAGAGAAGCAATAAATAATTCAATTAATTTATAAAAGGTACACTGCTCAGTAAAAATATATTTTAAAATATATAAAAATTCTAAAAATATTTAGGTGATTTACATAACCCAGCAGTTCTATTAAATTGAAACATTAATTCAAAAACTAATACGAGAAAAAATAATACAAATTATCCAAAACTATTAATTAATAATTTTTGAATTTTTCAACTCAATTTTCCACTTAAATTAAATTTCTGTATACCTGCTAAGCTTATCTCCATCTCATCGTTAATTGCAATTAAGTTAACATTGCAAAATATTTAAAATCGATACAGAACACGTACAAAACTTCAAGTGATTGCGCAATTATTCACGATCTAATTGATTTCTCGATTAAAACATGGATTATGCTCGAAAAATCGGTAAATCCACCGAACCTAAGAAATGGGTAAGATCACCCCCCACTGTTTTATATACATGTGACCCACCCATAAGCGAGGACAAAGTTCTCCTCGAGGATCGTCGCTTGAAAAACTGGAAAAGATGGTTAGCGACTCGAAAAACTCAAAGCATGCTGATCAAATATGAAACAGGTCGTCATCAAAGGGATCACGTCATGAATTCCTGCGAAACAGTTCGTCCACTGGTGGAAATGAGAACCTTGATGGATTACGCCACAGTTCCAGTACCAGTTATACCTGATAATTATCGAGGTGGTCCAGAATTTTGGAAAATTCCACCAGCGATCCCCAAACGTGATCCCTGTTTACCGGATATTACATTCGCACCAAATAAAAAGGATTTGAATAAAGTTCCAGAATTCACCTATGTAGGTTTACCTGAATTAATAGAGAAAGAAAAGAATCTGGTAAGTTTATCATCGAAGAAATCAGTATGGAAACGCAGTCAATATCTCCATAAACGAAAAGAAGAGCTGTCACAGGAAATCAAACTCGTGTCATCTACAGAACCGGAAACTAGGCATCTGGTAATCGAGAATTATGTATTTCCAGAGGAAATTGAGATACCAAGAATTCCTCCAATAACTATCTCCGATGTAGAAGATGAAGAGTCCTGTAAATCTCCTAATCAAGCCGTAGTCCTGAAGATCCAGGATACAGAAATTCGGCAAACATTTTCTTCAACAAAAGAAGGAATCACATCTGAACCTATCAAATGGAATGTGGACTTTTCTAGCAAAGTGAACCAGATGGAAGAGAAAGAAATTGTATTTGAAAATAAAGGAAATCGTGTGATTATTTATCAATGGAGGGATGCAAGATTTCAATCCAAAACGATGTCTTTCAGCAGAAAAATAAGCCCTTTCTTCTTTAATAAGACCAAAGGGGTGATTCTTCCTGGACAGTTCGTGAAATTGAAAGTCTGGTATCGATCACGAAAGTCAGGAATTTTTATCGAATTCTGGAGATTATTGACTGATCCAGAACTCTGTTCTTCACCTCTGATCTTTCGATTCTGGGGTCATTCTGAGACGATGAGGGAGGTTCAGGATAAGTTTGCACATAACGTTGATAAATATTTGGATCGTTGTATTAGAAACAATGCGATAAGGGAAATAATTGATGATATAATTGAAGATGTTTATTTGGTAAAACCACCTGATCCATTTTATGGAAGCTTGTTCCTAGAATCAGAAATATTTACAGCAAAGAATCCAATGTGTTTCTATAGTCCTAGTTTGGTGATAGAATTTCAGAAGATTTATCAGACTGCAACGAATCAAAAACAGCAGCGTTGGAACTTGTCCATAATTGATCTCCGAGATCTTTTATTGAAAATAAAAAATCCAGAACGGAGAAATTCAATGCTGAAGCAATTGAGTAAACTTTATAAAGACTGCCTGAAACCCACTTTGTACAAACCAGTTCAGTGTAACAAGTATGAAATGGTATTTAATTTATGGGGTTATTTCTTCAATCAATTTGAAATCGAAAGCCAACAATCAAGACAAGTTCGTCTTGAAAAAGAAATTGATACATCTGAGACTCTTATTAAAGATAAAAATCGTAAATCAAGTTCATCTTCACAAAGTGACCCTGTTCAAGAAATTAGCGAAAGTTCTGTTATCCTGATGAATAATTTTGCATATGGAGAAATATTTTTCATTCGCATTTATCAACTTTTAGCTGAGACGATGGAACGGATTTTTGCTACTATTGATTCATTTAATAATTTGAACGAAAGAGAAAAGTGATCAATAATTAGGAAGAAAGTTTCATATTAATTAATGATTGTATCTTGTAAAACAAGAGAAGTTTGCTCGTTCCTGGAGTTCAATTCATTTTGATTAATTTATTTAGTAAGGGTAGAATTTAGAATAACTTAAAGGGGTAGTGTTTGAATAATATTTGTACCTAAGTCGACATTTTAATATTATTTAACATATTTACCTAACATACATAATTATGTAATTGATACTACACTATAATTTTTCCTATAAAATAAAATAATAAAAATTAATTTTTGAGAATGACTTTGGATAAATGATATATTTAAAATATTTGTAATGTTAATAATAAATCAACGTATTCAGAAAGTCCTCATAAATTACGATTTTTTTTTTGTTTATTCTTTTTATCCTCGGTACAAGACATTGACAGTAACGTAACTTGGAAATTTCACCTAGAGGTTACTGCTAAGTAAATTTGCCTACACTTTAACATTTGCGTTTCTCGCCAATTCGATTTAATGCACTGGCCATCCCTGTTCCTTAGTTTTCGAAATTCGTCGATCTGTGAAATTTCGTTAATTAGTCGCTGGTAAATGATTACATACGAAATGTTGCGACTTACTTCGGTGGATCGTACGGGTATAATTACAGGAAATACGATCCATGTAGCGCATTCAGGATAGTCACCAACATTGTAGGATCCTGCGTAAGTATAGTACCTGGTGCAATAAGTTGCCCAACGCATCCAGCACAGAGAATCTAAAATAAAATGTATATTTTAGAATACATTCTGTGTTAAATGGGCCACTGATCGTCCCCAGCATTTGTGATGATCACAACTTTAAATAAGTAAATGAAGGAATTTTTTAAATATAGAATAAAATTTTGTATCATTTAATGTTATTAATGATGCTCTATTTACTAGGTGGTATTTTCGTTTCCATGTGTGTATCAACCACGTTTTTCAGGTTCTCCGTTATCCTTTCCAGTTGTGGATTAATACAATTACAGCAATCTGGTTGTACCTTCCGTGAAATGAAGCAAAATTTCAACTCTTAGTCAAAGATACACGGGCGAGAATTGCTCGCAAGAACAAACAGAATGTTCAAGCATACTAAGAATAAATATGCCAGGACACAAATGCCATCCTTGTGCCTATGACATTCCTCGTAGTTGAAATACTTCCTATTCCAATGAACAGCATGTGATTCCATCGAGTACCTTATAAACGTTAAAAACCATGTAAATTGGTATGAAAAATTTAGTTAATACTGTTTCTTATTTTACCAAGTGTCATTGATGGTGTGCTCAGCACCTCTGCAATTGTCTTCTCCCCAATGGAAATGTACATCGACGAGTTCGTAAACATCGTCCGCGAGTGGACCACCGCAAACTGTGGATGGAATCCTGTCCCCGCTTAAGATTACCTTCACTGAGTATTTAAATAAACATAATTCAACTCTTATCGAATTCAAATAAAGAGGAGAAATAATAATACAGATTAAAATTATTACAAAAATTTTTGACGAACCATTTGTGATGAATTTCACATTCAGAAATATACTAATTATGTATTTTGATATCTTTTCTATAACTAATATTTTGAGATTTAAATACAAGAATTTAATTATTTTAATTAAGAAGCTAGGAATAAAGTCAATATTTCATAGATTACCCGAGCTACCAGTATTGTATAAACGTGCCTCTCCATCGTTTAACCAATGTCCATTTATAACAAGGGGAGGAAAGTGACGTTCTCGTACTAATGTGTCGTCTAAATTAATTGGAGATTGTCCTGTCGTTGGTAAGCCTTCGAAACATCAGAGAAATAAAAATACCTTATTCAATATTTATTATGTTACATATAACCTAATTAAAAATTGACAAATTATTTTATTCTATTACCAATTAGTCCTGTGTATTCTGACATTGTTATGGTGTGTGGTGGGGAATTCTATCGAATTTTGATGTTATAATTTAATCCATATTTAGAAATTTATTTTTTGTTGTGGAATCGCATGATGGAAAAGATATTGCATTGTTTATTTAAAGGCTATGGTACACCGACGAACTGATAAACAAATAAATAGCTTTGGGCAGTTTTAAACTATATTTGTAAGACCTATCAATGATTAATTAAATCATTTGTATTTTTTATAAATTAAATTCATTTCAATACAAGTTATTACAAATTTTATTATATACAACAATAGTCATGTCTTCATGCTACAGCTTTGTCAGTAGCAAAATAGATTATTCTTCTACGAAGAGGTTGCTGCTGCCGGCAATTCTGCAATATATGCTGTAATTTACCGTTATACAGGCTTCTAAATGCATCAATCTGCAATTAAAAAAAATAATAATGAGAAATTGCATATTATATATTTATATTCAACTAGAATCACCTGGCGAGTTGCTATTTTCGTTATAATGGGTGTAATAATCCAAGCCACACATTCGTGGTATGGATGAGTTGTTAATGAACCTGGATAAGTATAATAACCGTGACCCATACATGCATCTAACATCCATAGCAAACAACCTAAGAATGGAAAATAAATATAAAATCTCTGTTTGATAAAAAATAAAAAAAAATAAAAATAGTTACGACTTCTAAAATAACAAAAACATAACGAGAAAAATTACAATCTATTTGTTACGCAAATATATAACAGTATTTAATTATTATTTAATTGTTTTACAAATTAAAGATGATAGTGTACCAGCTGGGATTTCAGTGTTGGTCCCAGGTCTCTTGATTTTCCGCAAGTGGTCTGTAATTGGTGTAAGGGAAGGGTTATCAGGGATTCCAGGGCATCCAACGACCTATTGAAATAGATGTTGCATATGAATTGATTGCATTAATTGTAACAAGTATTCGTACTTGCATAGGATACGAGAGTATCGCGATTCCATTTGGTTTATCATAGCATTTCTCGATTGAACCATAACGAGTGTTCCAGTGCATTATCTGTGCCTCCATGGAATACCTGTACCAGAAGATTTACAAGTGTTTCCATAATTTTATTTAATTTCCCTGTTTCCTAACCAAATGCCATCTATGGTGTGTTCAGAACCATAGGAATTGTCAGGACCCCAGCGGAATTGCACGTTCATAAATTGAAACTCGTCGTTGCCCAAAGGACCACCTCGCATATAAGGTATCTCATTTCTGTTTGGAAATTCAATGGTGACTGAAAATTAATAAATTTCGAATTAAGAGATGAGTGATAAATTTTTTGTTATATAATAGAAATGTACCTCTTTTGATATAATAAAATGTTTTTGACAATTACCTGTTCTTCCTGTATTAGTCATTGTAGCTGTACCCTTATTTAACCAATAATTAGTTAACAATAATGGTGGAAATTTTTTGGTCCAGATGGCTATTTTGGTTAAATCGATCGGTGATTGTCGCCATTTGGGTAATCCTGAGGATGATGTTGACTGGATTCCAATAGCCTTGGAATCTTTTGATATTAATTCAATCATTATTAAGCCATGAAGACTTAAAAAATATTTCTATATTTTTACTAACGTGCTTTCCTTCTCATGATTAACATTCTTCTCGTAACATGATCGTTGTTAAAATTTCTTGTCAGGCATTGCAAACAATTTTAATTCTATAAAGTAAAATGATTTAGGTATAAATTAATCATGTTATTAGCTCCATATTTTGATGCTTGTAGTGAAGTTTGTTACATAACAACTGTGCCAAATTTTTCATAAGTTCTTACATCTCCTATATTTTTTATATAAATGTTTGATATGATTCTCAATAATTCTTCATCCCTTGATCCTCTTCTCTATCCCTTACATCCCTCCATCATTTACTTACATCCGAGGGTTTTGGATTCTTCATTTTGCAACATTGTTACGAACTTTAGAAGTGCAATTTTTTGATTTGCAATTACAAGAGTATAAGGGATGCATGGATGTAAGGAATGAAGGGGTTTAAATGTAGCAGAGATACAGATGATGTATCAAATTAGATTACCTTTTTTTCTAAGTCACATTTAATACATATAGTGAAAATTAAAGTTTTAAAAATGTCTACTTCCCCTCTAACTCAATTTTTGTTAGGAAAGCCTACTGTGCTCGATACTGTACTAATTGTAAAATTCTTTCAACCAAATCTTTTCACTTGAAGTTAGACGAACACACGTCTCCTGTTACTCTGATCAAACAGGAGGTTATTTCGAAAGATTCTTAAAATTTACAAGTAAAACTCTTGTATTCGTGCATAAGTCGTAAAACGTATATTCTCAAGTTGATTGCAAGATGATTAACATTTCAGTATCAGAGTTTATGATTTTATGCAGTAGCATCCTTTTAATCTGTGAGTAAATCAAATCAAATGAGATTGATACAAAGTTTCGAGGATCAATATGTCTGATCATTGTCTATTTTATTACATTATTCCGTTCCGTGAACTGCATCGTTCAAGTTCTCCTGCTAACCGAAGTTCTTGATTGGACTCAATTGTTTCCCTGGGTGGAGAACGAGTGTTTCCCTTCGTTCACGTTCGATTACACTGATCGAAATGGGCCACACATGTGGAAAGTGTTGTACCCCGACAGCACGGGCTTTAATCAGTCTCCAATCAACATTACAACACGATCGGTCGTCGTTGTGCAACCATCGGAACCTCTTCGTTGGAATGGCTACAATAAGGCACCATTGTCGATATCTATAATGAACAATGGAAATAATGGTGCAATTTAGGATACAATATTTTAATATTTAAATATGTTGAAAATTTAAAATGTAACTTCCTGCTGTTTAATTATTTAATCCTCAGTGATAGTAAACACCATGTGGGGTAGCCTGACTCAACCATACGTCCATGGGGGATCATTAACTAGTATTTATGATCTCTGTTCGATGGTATTTCATTGGGGACGGTCAGACAACGAAGGCAGTGAGCACACTTTAGATTATGTTCGGTACCCCATGGAACTACAAGTGTGGCACATAAAACGAGGGTTCAATTCATTGATGGATGCAATTGCTGCAAAGATGAGCGATGCTCTGCTCATTGTATCATTTCTTTTTCAGGTGAAATTTAACAAACAGTATTCAAATTGTACTATCGAAAATTGTCTTCGAAACCAGGGCCGATTCAACTAACAGTGAATTTTTATTAACTAATGGTTATTAATATTGATTATATAACATTTTAATGTATTTACAGATTACAAATGCAGATAATCCATACTTGGACCATCTGGTGACAAACTTATGGCAAATAGTTGAACCAGGATCGAGGTTACACATACCACCCTTTCCTTTAACTTGGATCTGTCCACTTCCTGAAAATAATTATTACACTTACAATGGTTCCCTTACTCAACCACCCTGCAGTGAAATCGTCACATGGATCGTTCAACCTGAACCCATTGCTATATCTTCATCTCAAGTATAATCACACATCCCTGATTTATAAAATATTCTTATCTAGATTTTTATCAAATTTATTGACATTTAATTTTAATATAGGTTGCACAATTTCGGAAGGTCTGTTCAGCAAATGGCCCTATTCTATCAAATTGCAGGCCCGTTCAATTAATTAATGAACGTGACGTTTATTTCCATGCCTAACATAAGTTGTTTGTATATTGTGAGTCTTTTTATCTTACGTGTTTGTATAATTTTTGTAGATGTATATATACGAAATGATTTTTTAATAAAATTAATTAAAAAAATTATGTGCTTGCCCTGATCAATCTTACAAATTTATAAATTACCAATAATGAATATTATTTTTTTCTTTACAAAAGTACATTAGAATTGCAAAATTTATAAATGAAAATTAATAGTTATTAATATGAATTAATAGCTATTAGTAGACATTAACACTGCGATTGGAACTTTGTTCAAACTGTATAAGTGTAAAATTAGTGAAACGATTGTGAAATAAATTTTATATACAGAGAGTAATAGTTTTATTGTTTTCCTACGACACTTTACGAATGCATCAAACGTTATTCAACAAAGTTCGTTCGAAAATAAAGATATAACAAACTCCCTTGTCGCAGGGTACAATCTATTTGGCACAATTTGTAATCAATCGTTTTCCTTCAAAAATATCCATCAACGCACGCAAGAGGAAAAAAGAACGCATTCTGATTGACGTTACGGGTACTATGTCATAGCATACGTTTCTCTTTTTGTTTCATTTGTTTCATTTTTTGTATCTAGAATATGCATCCATTTGTCACAAGCGGCTGATACGCGGCTATGAATCTTCTACCACACACAAATATACATACACCGATAATACGTACATTCACTCTTCAAATGGTGTTACTTTTTGTTTTTTCCTTTTTTTTTTGTTCTCGTAGTAAAAAATCACAAAATCGTTTCGAACATATGCTCCTGCCAATGTATATAAATCACGGTGTGTCGTGTGAAAAATCATATCACGTCGCGTGTTAAGCCTGCTCCAGGAAAAATAAGAACCGTATATTTCTCTCTCGATTATACCCCGATCGCATCGGTCATCCATCCCGTGTTTCGATAATCGTCGCGCTTTATTTACACGTGTGGCAATTAAAAAAATGTACAATTTCGCCCTTTAAAACCTGGAGCGACCACGGAGAGGGTGAAACGCCTTATGTACAGAATAGTAGATACGTTGATCCACGATGAAACCACACGCAAGGGACGGGAATTGCTTGGAAGGTATCGAGCAAGCACAGCTTTCTATTTTACAATACATTTCATGGGGTCCCTTTCATTTTATCGACAAAGATTTCTTCCACAATATTTACATTTGAATAAACTATAAAAATAAAAAATTGTGATAGAAAATTCAACGAAGTATAGCCCTGGTAGAAATACAGTATGGTCGCGAAAGGAACCCAATATTGTTAATATTATTGAATGTGTGGAGAAATAAAGAAATATTTCGGTTGTTGATCATTTTTCTCTTGATTAGGAATCAATAAATGCCATAAACTAAATAAATTTAGAATAAATAATGAAAAGTTTGTTAATAAATATCAGCAATATTACAGATAGATGAGATTTACGTTCACAGTATATTTCTGCAACGACTGTACCTACTCAAAATCGAATACAGAGTTGTGTGAAGCATGAAAAGTAGTAAAAATAGCATTGTTGTAAAAATGGTCGAATAAATCTTTGTCGATGGAACCAAATAGACCCGTTATTCAAATTAAAACGCCTTCAAGAATCCGAGAATACTTTGAACTCTTATTGAAAATGTCCTGTTATTATCACGTGTATCGTTGTTCCCTTTGATCGAATGTTTCCATTTTGCAAAATCGTCAGAAGTGTAACGGATGAAACATGAAAATAACTTGTCTGATATCCTTGCAAGTCCAACGGGAACCTGAGTTCGATCCTTCTTTTCTCTCTGTGCCTTTTGCACTGAAAAGGTTTCAATCCGCTTGCATGTCCCTTATCGTTCGGCAAAGGAACGCTGAAGTTATTATACCGAATGTCTGGAACATACGTGTATCGTCAGGTACGAGGATATTTGAGATTTTTCTTGGAATAGAGTACCTGTATACCCGCTATCGCCATCCCGAGAAATACCAGAGTGAAACTCTCGTACTGCAGCCAGTTGGTGACTTTGGCAAGGCAACCCTGAAAATAATTCAAAAAGAAATGTTAATATTAAGAAACGCAACGATTTTTGGAATATATTTCAATATCGCGCTAAGGATATGAAAAATAATTAGATAAACTTTTGAAAAATAAATAATTTAATTTATTTGCAGTGCTGATAATCAAAATAATTAAAATGATTATAGAAAAGTTTAGATGTTACTTTCATTATTAATATTGTCAAAATTAGGATTTTGACAATTTCTGCTTTCTCTGTATTCCTATTTTCCCTAGGGAATCTGATTTGATCGCGAGTATACAAATGGAACTAGTTCTGAATATCAAACTCAAGATAAAGCGATTCGATCTGAATAACTTAATTAGTTAAAACAAGTCGTCTTGCAAAGTGGAGCATTCGAGTTCAAATCCCGATTTAACGCTCCGACGAGTTGATTGTATTTCACCCTTCATAAAAATTCTCATTATTATACTTAGATTTTATAAAGCTATTCCAAAGATTTATAAATGGATGCTTAGAAATGAGAATAAAAATAGATGTAACTATTAATTGAAAATTTGACTAAGTAATAATTTGTGAAATAAACTGATTTAGAATTATATTTTATAGAGTTGGTTGTAATATGTGTAAATGACACGTTAGACACAATTTTCTGACTGTGATTCTTTGCCTAATTAAATGTTCATCATCTTTCTGAAATATTTCAATAATGGAATGAAAATCTACCTCTTTATGTCGATATCCGTCGTGACCCTCTTCATCTTCCACTTGACACGCCGATTCGTCCTTTGGTTTTGGATTTAACCACGGTTTCTCAGTCTTCAGTGAAAAATTCAAATTTATTTAGTACATCTGCGACAAAATTGAAAATTTCTCAAACTACTTACATGTTTATGAAACACCCTTGAAACGACGCTCATTGGACTTCCTGTATTTTTCATCTGTAAAAATGTTAATTTATTGAGTTTTATTTAACACAGCAATAGTAGATGTCAAATCATAATATTATATGTTTTCAAAAGTTCCTTTTCAAAATAAATACACCGTGCAGAATTTCAATTTCGAAAAATCCATTAAAGTTTTCTCTAGAATTGGAACGTCAGTAGTTTATTTTCATTCCATTTTTCACGGCCCTCCGAATTTTTAAACCGTTATGTAAAACCAGTCGTTCATTATATTAAGTGCTCGTTCCACTTCCATGAATTCTTCTCTAGGTAAAATTTTTTTTACTGAATTAAAAAACACTGAAAAATCCCTCCAAAAAAACTACCCCTCAAACATTTCATAGTTCATGCAGTTATATACAATCCGTGCAATGATCGTCAGGTGTACGGATGGTTAAACGTAAAAACAGTGCTATGAAATTGTAAAAATATGTTAATTGTTCTTTTATGAAGGTTTAAAAAAGAATGTCCTAAAAATTTTAATGTAATAATAGACTTTTGTGAAGTATACCTCGGTATTTTTTAATACGCAGCACGTGAGAGGGACCTGCCTTCTGTTTCCCGAAATTTGCGCGTCTCTCCACCAGGCCGTGCCATTATAGTCCTCGTATCCGTGTATTCCACAGCAATTAAACTACAATGGAATCACTTGTATGCTCTTCGGACCATCACAATACACGGACGGACAGTTCCACGTTCCTGACATTAGGCGCCATTCGTGCGAGACGGAAAATTCCCATTGTATGGTTTTCGATCTGTCGTCACTCATTATGGGAACGATCGCGCAGATCTGTGCTCTAAATTTAACCCTTTCACCGCAATAACTCTATATTAACGAGGGTCATTATCTAATTGACATACTCCAATTTCGATGCAATCTTGATATGAAATAAAATTCGACGAAATATTTAATGTATATTACTTTTAATTGGCAATTATCTGTGTTAAATTATATATATTTTATATCTCAATTGAGGCAGGGTAACGTATACATTTATCGACCCCAATAATGACTGACCCGTTTGCTAAAAAAAGTAGAAAATATAATATAATAATGATCTATAATTCTATTCGGAACAAAAAGTATTCGGGCTACGAAAGAATATTTATATTTCATTATTAAACCCTTGAACAGCTTGGGTCAATCGCGACCCACATTTACAAACTAATACAAGGACATTAATCTAAAGTTAAATGTATCACTTTTAAACAAAAAAGTTTCATGTATTCGAAGAATAATTTTTCAAGGGACAGTGTAAAATTTAGAAAATGAAAATAATATGAAGTACAAAATTAAATTAGATTTAATTATATCAGTTTGTCTTACAATACCTATGTGTATCCTAATTCGCAGCGAAAGGGTTAAAGCATTGACTACCCCTGTAAAATTTGTATGTCCATAAAAATAGTAAAAGTTTCTAAAAATACCACCCCTTTCTATTCTGTTGAAATATTAAAATATATAAAGTTTATGGTGTCGATCACCGACCACCCCCATGACAGTCAACCCGTTAATGCCCATTTCTCCACGGAACTTTAACACGAAACAACGTGGTCAAGCACATGAAAGTATTATTAGCCCGTGATAAACAGGCTCGTCAGGAATAAATAATCGATCACTATTATGGTGGGTCAGTTATACCTTATATTGCGCGAAGTCGAGACTATGACTGAAAGGGATGTCACTGGTCGGCTCGTGGCCATAGTCATTGGCTAATTTGTCGGTCAGACGCTTCTCCAATCCGGATAGTGTTCGAAACGTTATCAGCCCGCTGACAATCGCGGTTACCAGTTCGATGATGATCAGCACCACTAACATACTCATATACTGCACAGATAAAAATACATGGTAGACCTTGACCGTGTGCTTGTTATAGCGATCGTTGTGAAAATGTATCGACAACTTACGGTACCCAGGATGCATTGATTTCCGTGCAGAGCAGCACGACATCCGAAGAAACCGACCGTGAGTACCGTGAAACCAAGACTGAGCAAAGTGTACGCTATTAGATTAATAGTACCGTTCGCTGTGGTGTCAGCTACGAAAAGGTTTAGTAGGTGTTCTTTGCTTGGCTCCAGCAACAGCCATGCCCCTATCACCAGTACTGTACATCCGGCCAACTATTCAACAGATAGCTTTTGTACAGCTCGTTATTCGAAGTGGGTCGTGCACAAGTATCCAGACACTTTTTCAATTTTGAATATATTTCACTGGAGGATCCTCCTTGCCAATTTGCCACCCTTAAGAATGTTTGAGACTCCAGGAAGTGGGACGTATACTGAAGGAAAATCTTCCCTGCTGGGGATAGTGTTAATCCTTGAACAACGGAGTCTGGGTCAATCGAAACCCAAACTTACGAAACACGTATACACGGATATTAACCTAAAGTTAAATGGATATATCATTTTTAAAGGAACTGTGTAAGATTTAGTAAATGAAAATAATATGAAATGCAGAATTAAATTAAAATTGGGGCTCTCTCCATGATCAACCGTTCGAGGGTTGTTAAATTTTATATATTGTTAATTTCAAATTACCAAGTGCCTGAATACTTATGAACGATCCTGTATATTTTATTTCCTATATAACAGAATTCTCTGAATCCATAACGAAATTCCATTTATCAATAAATACAAATTTGTTCACCCGAAATGAATATTTTCCTCGTTTGACTTCGTTTGAAGGAATTTCATTACTCTTTTCGAGCTACGTAAAATTCTTCTTAACAAAATTATTGAGCTTCAAATTAAAATAGAATTGGCACAACCGATATTGCACTACATGGATTCAGTTTTTTTATTATTTCAAACATTCGTACGATTTTCCCATAGCGATTCAATAAACGTTAATCTAATAAAGAACCTTTTATTAATTCTTTTTTCCCAATAAATCTTTGCCAACAATGGTCCTTTCGTTTTACAGTCGAAAGGAATTAAACAAATGGAATATTAATCTGAAAATTACTTTTACAAAGCTCTAAATGTAATAAATATTTTATGCTGCAAATATAAAACGATTTTGATAATTTATTCGATATTATTGAATTTTCTATAAATATATTAACAAGTATATTATTAGTGACATTCCACGTTTAGTCTTTGTTTACATTTTCCTGTAAAGTATTATAATTCTTCATAAATTAATTATATTACACCTAAGTGTATTTTTAAACTTCCTTTCATACTGAATCTCCATATAAATCAATGAGTTTAAAATTCAATTAAAATATTTAATACTTTACCCATATTAATAAGTTGAACGTGAACAGAACGACTTTCAAGTATTTCATGCCGATCGTTTTCAAGACATCAAATAGTCATCAATCTGCGAACATAACGTTGCGAATATTGATAAAACCGTAAACTTCAACGGCGTTCAATTAATTTTAATATCAGCCATGAAAAATCGTTCAAACTTTTTGCGGTGTCTAATATAAAACTTTCCACGATACACATTGCAAAGTCACATTTTCGATATTTCTGTCTCAGCATCCTTCACCTCTATACTGTTTCAGTTTCCCGATATAAACGCCACTGTTGGCGATAAAAATTCATGGAAACCGTGATTAAAATGGTCAATAACAGCCGAGCGGATATGAAAACGAAGAACCATGGAAGGAATACGTGCTTGCGTTATTTTTCTCATTCACTTAGGAAATGAAAAATCTGTCTCTGCGTGACTGAAGGGGGAACAAAGTCTGGGTATGATTAAACGCGGCCATCTTTTCGGGACACGAAAGAAAATGAGAATTAATTAATCGATCAATCTTCGATAACAAGTCGGCTCAATCGGATGATGAAAAAGTATCATCAGCACCGGGGACTTTGTAACTTCCGGTCGAACAAAGAACAGATTAACTCATTTAGGTCGTACGAACGTTACGGCTAAGCTGGATAAAGAGAAAGCCTTTAAAATCCTGGTTTCACTCTTGGGATGCAATTATAACTGCGAAAAGGGGACACAATGTGCGCTTATCAAAGGGCTCAGGAATTGCCCGCGAACCCAGATATCCCGTGACATATTAATACCTTTGCGACGCCTTGGCTTCTCTGTTTAATATCAATTAATACATTAACTACGTTAAAACACCATTAGATCCACTTGGGATCAAAGGGCAGAATGAAATTGTCGGAGCAACGCCTGGTTGATGTACGCCTGCATTAATAACGCGCGACAATGATATAGGGCCGCGTACGTAGCTTAATTAATAAATTGTGTACGTGATTATTAATTTGAACGATCTCGCCGTGTAAACATCCATTAAAATGACCACTGAATAAATTACGAAAATACTCGGATATTCCACGAATTTAACGTATAATTTCAAATATAAATGAAAAATTTCCTCCCATCCCAAAAAAAATTGTCACGTTCACTCGATGATTATTAACAAATCTTACCGCTTCGATCCAAACACCACGATGCACGCTTCGACTTAAACGAGCTTCCATCAGCCACTCGAAACTACTCGAGTATACTACTTGCCATATTACCAGTATCGTCCTTCTAACCAGACAGCAACAGCCGAGAATCCTGTTGATCCTCTGAGTGGTAAGCGGGAAACTTGGACGGTGTAACGAAAAACGTACAACTCAGGTGTATCCTCGGGGTTGATTATCCTCCTCTATAGATCCATTCACAGGTGGTTCTTCGCACTGTTTGGTCCCTTTACACACGATTCAATTTGCCGAATGTTCGATAGACGGGTATGGTTTAGCACGGTTACAGAGAGTAGATCGATGCACGGATTTCACGTGTCGACTCGCCTAGTTTCAAAGGACAAATCTCACATCTATTCAGGAGCAGAGAGAGGATTACTAGCGCGTACGATCGCGACGATACTGCCGAGGGTAAATGCTGCCAGCTCCGGCGTCATCCGCCTCGGGAGCGGCATACTCTCCTCGTCCCTCTTTTCTGCTCACCTTCCGCCCTTACGTCGTGTCCGGATGATGGTCCAGATGCGGCTGCGTCGCGACGTCATGGCGCCGACGCTCTCTCGTTACCCTAGTCGATCCCTGTTCCCGTTTTAGTTGCTCCACTCGACCAGCCTTCGTCCCGTCGATCACGGACGTCCTCTCTACCAGCAGTGGCCAATTGACCAGGTTATGCACCGGTTCACGGGTTCGAGTGTTAATCACACCGTGTGTGCCTCCAACGGGATCAACCAGTCGCGATGGGACTGGACGTGAGTTGTTCGTAACATGGTTGCGTCGGCTACTGTGTGGACATCTTTGTGGTTACAAGATACACGAGGAAGGATTCTGGGTGCATGTCGTGCTCGTGACGAGTTTCCGGAGTTGAAATGTTAATTCTGGTTTGGTACATTGATGTATCGGTTTCTATTCATTATCTTTTCTTTCTCTGTAAAAGTAATGATAAGTTAGTTTTTCTATGTCTTGTGTGGAGGTTTGGGTAACTATAGCTACTGGTTATTGATTAGAGCCATTTAGTATTTTCAACAGTTGCCACTTCTTTAATTAAATCGATGAAATCAGAAGTGAATTGATTAGATATGTTTTAAGTCGTATTATCAATTTTTGGAAATTTATATCTGTACACGAATTTTTCAGATATTTTTGAAATGATAAATTGTCTATTAAAAATTAATTGTATTTTTCGACCTGTCTGTTGGAGGTCTCTCCTTAAGGGAGATGATGTATGGTTTCTTTTCTGATTATTTGGCGAAATTGGACGACGAGACTGTTTGCGAAATTTATGGGCTTCGTGGCATATCGTTCAGAAGTTGGTATGAAGTTGTTTGTAACTTCTAGCTAGGTTTAATTGAACTAGGTAGTTTTGAAATGCTGTGTGGTATTGTTTCTAACTGTGTGAACAGTATCTCAAAACTTTGTCAGATATTTGCTTTTGAGTACACATATACGTCTATCTGTAGTCTAATAATAAGTAATATTTAAGACATTTATTTATTTTTATTTTAGTGGTACTTTACTGATATTTCTGTTGCTTTTATTTGTGTAATAGTGAATTAAATGTATTTTGTTAGTGTAAAATAAAATTATGAAATAAGAAATGTAGTGAATTATTTTATTAATATTGTTTTCCTTTTGATGTAGAAGATTCTATTTTTATTTTAATTAAAATATAAGTTATAGATAGTATAGGTAGTAATGTTCTGTTACTTACTTTTTAACGAAACCTATTTTAAACATCCTCTTTAAACATAGATTTAAAATTAAGTCAACTTTAGAGTTTCAATTCTTTTTCATTCATAATAATATTTCATTTTAATTACAGCTAGCTTTTCATTTAGTCATAATTTTTCTGTAAAGAAACTGCATAACAAATGTTTTAGAATTTAAATAGTAATGAGATTGCATTGTCATTTTCCCTTTTTTATTTCCTATTTAAATCTTAAAAATTCTTTGAATTTTTAAAATATTTCATGAATGAATTCACCGACAAACGGTGGTTTCAAATTTTTTAAAAGTGATCACCTTTTTATGTAAATATAATAGATTTATTAGGTATTAACAATTTTTACAGCATTCGTGTTTCGTTCGTCTTAAACAACACGCAACTATGGATAAAAGATGTTAACGCTCTAGTCAACAAATTGGCGATGCACGTAATCAATAACTTCCGACATTGCTCCTCAATCGAATTTGTCGTAGAATATCTCAGTTGCACGCCACACGACTAGAGATTTAATCGATTAAGTCTCGCAATTTTCTCGTTCAAATTTCTCCTACATCGCATTGTTCTTCGTGTAACGCACCTTAATAAACAATTTAACAAAATTCCTTACATACAAAGGACGCAATAAGTTTACGATAGATTGTCTCGCATTAAGTACAAAAATGAACAAGTTCCTCCACTTGTATTCAGATCTTCTGTAAAGAAAGCAATTATTCAAATCGCTGCAAAGTAATAATACGTATTTTTCAACGCTGTCAAAAAGACAGCAGGCAGTAAAATTCGCAAAATCACATTTGTCTCTTCTGGCACGACTGCCAGCTGTCGTCTTCCGAAGCTGACGACAGGAAGTACGAAAGAAAAGTAACGTCCGACACGCTAGGACGTAGAAAAATCAGTATTGAACATCTTCACACGTATTTTCACAACGATGCCTACCGTTCGTTGAATATTCGTTAAAAAATAATAAAATAATATGAGCAAACGCGCAGTTATAAATAGAAAGGTCTTAATATACAATGGGTTCAAGCGGGTCTTTTGTATATATAGGGTGTTTAAAAAAGGGCATGCAAGACAAGGTGCTTATAGTACTCATGGTATTTCAAGGGTTCAGAATATTAATTAAGTGTTTATATAGCCACTTTCAGGAAGTCTTAAGCTTCAGATTGATATGCCATAAGTGCCATTTAATAATACTTTTATGTCATGAAAATATATTAGACTTTATAAGTTTAAAAATTGATCACTGTTTGTTGCAATTAGGAAGTAGCCATTTTTTATTAAGAAAATTGACGAAATATTCATATAGCAATATTTACGAAATCTTAATCTTTAATTTAGTATTAATTTTAATCAAACTTCTTACCTTTCAATTAATTTTGCGACGAATACTATAGGTTCCTGAATTCTTAGATCCTCTTTTTGAATCATCCTATATACACGTATAAGTTCACGGGTCGTTCACATTTCACGTAACACACACATGCACACAGGCACACAGAATCATACTATTTTATAAATTGTATTGTTTTGTCGATTCTTACTGCTACATTGGACGGGTACGGTGACTCGGAATTCTTGCGCGAACTCACCGTCAGAAGCCACGTATTACCGTATTCCACGAGCGCGTGGAATTCATAAGATCTAGCAATATCGTTTTTTATGGGTCACAAGCTATTGCACAGCAGAGATTCGATGTAAAAAATTTGATTTGTTGCGACAATTCAATTGCAGATTCGTCACGCCGAACGAGCGTTACGTCCTTTTTTCCGAAATGCAGTGGCATTTGCTTTCAGTCGACGCGCTTACGGTGTGCTTTTTTACAAGGGGATTACCCAACTGGCACATGCCAATTCTGATGAATTTTTGGTAAAATTCAGAAAATCCAAAAAAATATTTGACGCGAGTTTCTCTCTTTTTTTTAAACCGACAACCATACAGACTGAAGGATAAAAATAATAAATATTGGAATTATACATATTTTGTTGAATACCTATCGCGAAAACTATTAATCATTGACGAAATTTTGAAAGGTACGATGTTTATGCTTTTAGATTTTTAATTTGTTCATGTAAGGGTGTTTTCAAAACATGTACTAAAATTTAAGGTACTTTTGCAAATATTGTTATTAAAATGATGGAAAATTTTTACGAAAATTTATATATAATAATAAAAATATGAAAAGGTTGAAATTTTCAGTTTCAATTTCATAAAAAAAATATTATTACTCACGTTTCATACTCGACTGCTACCAGCTCTGTATGATCGAAGACCCTGTACATTTGTTATGATATCGTAGAGTATTAGATAAATCTATAAATTGAATATTGCATTAGAAAATACAGAAATCATCAGTCAAATGTTCCTCAGCAGGTGCCATTTGGATAACTCTTCTGTTCGTGAAAAAATAATCTCAAAAGGCACATGAAAGTACTCAAACCGCAGTATGTTTCTAATTAAAATAGATAGATTACAACTCTTATAACAAATTTAAAAAAAATAACAAAAAAAATTGATTATTGACATTAAAATCAATTTGAGTCAACATAATAAAAAGTATTTACATTTTCGTGAATACCAAAATCCCAAATTCTGTACAAATTAAATAAATATAGTATTACTGTATTTACTTTTTAATAACGTTTCAACAAAATATCTACCATGCACACAAACATATTGCTATTCAAATACTTTCGAATACCTGTCTATGTCCTTCTCAATGACCATCAATGACGTCAATCGATGAACAGCCTCCTCCAATTCCACGATTCCCATACCATCTCGACATACTCAATTCCATCCACCAAATTACATCATCAGTCACAGTTGAGTCCTCGTTAACGCGCAGCAAATCAGCTGCGTCGAAATTCGCGGAAAGTTTCGGATTGAGCATGAAACGTCGACAGCGGTTTCGTAACTTCCCTTACAATTCCGTCGTAGTCTCCACAGGGCTCTGTTCGCCTAAATACGTAAATCCCAGATGAGAGTAATCCTTCCTCTCCCTGAAGGTAACGTTGTCGTTCGATGGGCTAGGATTCAGCAGATCGTTGCCATGATTATAGAGGGGGTTCAAAACCGGCGTCGCGTCGTGGTTGTTCATCGTGTTCGCATTGCTGTTGTTGTGGTTCTTTCTACCGAGGGTGGATCGTCGCAACGAGTGGATGTTTGCGTCTCCATGGGTTCCAGCTATGCTGGAAGCACGAGCGGTGGTTGCCGCTTCCGAACTTACGGGACTTTGTTGACCTGGGGGATGACAAACTTATAGAGAAACCAATATTGGGAGAACCTGAATCCGGAAGTTCAGAAAATGATGAAAGTTTGCGAACATAGAGGAGATGTCCTTCCGTGTTATAAATTTTAATGTTGCCTGGGGATGAGGAGATGAAAAATCACTCCAATTCTGAAGGGATCACCTGGGACTGATAACGAAATTTTCAACTCCACGTCATACCACCTACATGGTCATTTCTGCTTCAATAGTCAACGAGATAACGTGTCCCCGTTTCTGTCGTAACACCCTCGTAAAGATAAAAATAATCTCAATTACCTGTACTCTCCCCATTTTCTTTGGTAATGTAGCTAACATTGTCCAGACTGAACGCGTGATTCTTATTGCTGAAATCTAGCTGGAGATCGTTATAGCTGTCGTTGTCATCGACAGGGACGCTCATTTGAAGCACCTGTGTCTCGTATTCCTTCAAATTTGGTTCCACGTAGACAGGATCGTAACGTGGTACCACGTACATACGTTGCATTCGTTCTTTGTACGCCTTGTATCTATGCAAACGACAGAAACAAAAGTTCCCCTCTAGAGTATGCGCCGTCGACTGCAAAGTCATGCAAGAAACGAAGCGAACGGTTCCGCCTCTGACGTATCGCTCTGTTAAATGTTTTAGGAGGCATCCACGCCGGAAAGTGTAATTAATTCTAATGGAGGTAATAAAGGGAACGATGAATTTGCATGCGACGCGGGCCGACCCGTCCGACCGATGAATATTCATGCGTAACACTGGAAAACACTTCTTTCACACGATATTAACGGTAACAACGTTGTTGGCACAATAATTATAACCGAAAGCTGAGCGTCGTAAGAGAATCGTCCGAATTATTCGCTCCTCCTTTGACGTAGAAAATGCATTATTTATAAGTCGAGTGATTCAATTTTGGGTAACTATGTAGGGTAAAGAAGACCCTTAGTGATTCATAAAATTACTATTTTTATGATTTGTTGTTGAAAAGTTTAGGTATACCTAGTAAAATTAAATTAAAATTCGGGCTCTCTCCATGGTCCTCCATGAAGGTTAAAACTGTTAAAATGAATAATTACCCAGCTAATTAGACCAAAGTTACGTTAATCGTTTGAAACATAAACCTTCACCATATTACTATTATTACTCATATTACTTTTGTGACAGTCGAAATAAGGAAAAAAATAAAGTAAGGCAATGAAGAAGATACTTCTGTCTCTTGAACAGGGAATAAATGTTGCTATAATTTTCATTTGATTTTCCAAATTTCACTAACAAAAACTTAGCCCAGCACAAGGTTTATTTAAGGATCTCGTTTAAATAATTTGACTTGAACTTACCTGGACCAAGAGACGCAGATGTAGATGATACCAGCGATTCCTAAAATCAGTATAACACAGGCGATGATTATCAAAGCATAAGGAAATACTTCGCCACTGAAAGCAATGGCAGTTTGCGTGCGAACTGGCTCAGCTGGCATCACAGGTGCATGGATGTCGATGGCGTTAGCTCTAACTAAAGTAGACACGTCGAAAGTGATATTCGACATTGCTGGCTTCTCTATGATAGATCTGGAACGAAATAATACGGCCTCTTGCAATTTCAAACCGGAGAACCTTGTACGATAACAGAAGTTTATGAAGTAGTCACGAGGAAGCGAGTCAGTGGGAACTGCTATTACGTTATTCCATGATGACTATGACTTTATCGAGCCTCGTAACTGTTGTGAAAAGTGTTTACAGTTTATAGAACAGTAGATCCAATGAAAATCAAGGTTTAAGGAAAAACTTAAGAAAAATAACTGCAAGGACATAGAGTAAGCTCGAATAAAATTAATTTTAAGAATTGTTACAAAGAGAAATGAAAATTGCTGTAAACATAAAAGAACAATATTTTCAAATACTTTGTCTTTCAAAAAGGTACTGTTCCTTTGAAGAGGAAAAAGAAATGTCTCTATACCGTCTTCATACATCGTTAATTAATATTATTCAAAAGATTTCCATTGACTTACCTTTGTATTCTTGAGCTATTTCTATCCAAAATAGCTTCCGTATCTGGATCAACCGCGTAGAACCATACATCCGAATCCTGAGGATACATTTCAACGGTGCCATTTTTGGTCAGATTCTTCCTCACAGCAACTCTATCAATACCAATCAACAGATCACTCTTCTCTTCAATTATACTAGCAATTTTAGGTGCTTCTTTTTGCAAGACATCGGGTGACGCGTCTTGAACCACCAGGATCATTAGATTCTCCTCGCCAATCAAATTGACAATGACCGGAGCGACGATTGAATTAAAGTTGTCGGTCGAATTAGGATTGTCCCGAACGCGGACATCGAATTTGAACGGAAGTTCCGCCGGATCCACGTTGTCGAACGTAGCAGTGGTTCTAATTATTCCGGAAAAGCCGTCCATGGCAAAGTAATCCGAGCCTCTTCCTCCGAGTATCTTGTACTCAAGTTTCCCGTATTTTCCATTGTCCTTGTCATGAGCCTTTATTTGGATCACAGTCGATGTAAACTGAGCTGCTCTAGGTATCGCTGCGAAATAACGCCCTCGGGATAGCTTTTGATTACTTTCTGGGAAGATGAATTCTGGCTTGTTATCATTCACGTCGAGCACTTGAATCTTCACCTGTAAATTGAAAATGTGATTCCTTTTTTAAGGAAAAATAAGGATAAGCTCCAAAGGGTAAAAGGATGGTAGCTCCTGAATTGAAGACTCAGTTAGGAAGTTGGGAAGTTAGGACATTAGAATTTCAGAATTCAAAGACAAAAATTCCAGAATTTCGAACTTTGCCCTCCGTGGAATAAAATTCTAATTACGTTAACGATTATGAGTAGCTCTATTAAATTAATGAAAATTGGGACAACTAAACAAAAACTTAAATTTGCAAAATTAAAAATTTTCTGTTTAAATGCAATTTGCATAAAATATTATATCCAATTGATTTATTAGATAAAAATTTTAAAAGTATATTTCTATTACCATTGTTGTATTCCTGCCAGAGTTCAGCAGACCTGACAGCGACTCCAATCTGATCTTAACTTGATAAGATTCGGTCGTTTCGAAATCCAAAGCACCTTTCTTCAACCTCAACGCACAGTTTCGTTCCTCCGTTACGTTGGCTTCAAATAATTCATTCTCGTTGCCGCTGTAAATCTCGCACTTCAACGGCGTCGTATCGTGGGCGTGACTATTAATGACCGTGATTATCTTGATGAGCGTGTTATCGCCCGCGTCCTCGGGCACATCGACGTTGTACGAGTTTTCTGCGAATCCTAAGCCGATTTCCGGCGGCACCGTCGCAACGTGACGAACGTAAATCGGCACTGTCGTGACCGACGACAATTGCGGCTCTCCCATATCGTACGCGCGAACATCGACCTGAAATATTCATTAACGCGACCCCATGAATTTAAAAGATTTCATTATAGCGCCAAATTTAATAACAGAAGTAACAGCGAGTTATTTTTTGACCCTCTATCCCTGAGACTACGGCAATTGAAATTGTATTTTTATTTAATTTTCTAATTTTCAAAGTATTTAAAATTTATACTTCTTTATTTAAAAGTCTGAATACCTGATTTTAAACTAGGTATCTTCGTATACGTTTTGTAAATCTGGGTCATAATCGACTGGAGGGTTGATAAAGAAAAATAGGCAACAGATATAAATAAACGAAAAATACCTGATATTCAGTGTCAGTTTCCTTACGCAAATCGTCTCTAATTCTGAGCACACCGGTATCTGGGTCAATCACGAAATACTTGTTCGCTATTCCACGACCGACGATTTCGTATCTCACCTATGAACAGAACGGACAATAGCAATCTCAGCTTCAGAATAGAGATTCCTGTCGATGGATCGCGAATATATACCTGATTTCCGGGAGCTGTGCCATCGGAATCAGTTGCTATAAGATTGATGACCGTCGTACTGATGGGAACGTCGTCGTCCAAAGTAATCGGACGCGGTACTGACGTGAACACTGGCGGAATATCATTAACATCCTAACATAACAAAGAAATATATACACATACATATGTAGTTGTCCAGAAAATTAATATAGAATCCAATTTTCATTATAAGAGCATTATTCCATCACAATCAATTCAGTCGATTTCACAATCAATATTAGAAATATTTCCAATTACCTTACGAAATTATTTCATATATTTTGCCTGCATTATTTAAACATTTGATGTGGAGAAATAAAAAAATAAAAATGATAGTAATCAATACCTGTACATTGACCACAACCTTGGTAGTAGAACCAGGCAAATCACTGGTATTTTCCACAGTTCCAATAATAAGGATGTGTTGATTCTCTCTCTCGTAGTCCAAACCACGGATGGTTTTTATCACTCCAGTCTTCGGATCAATGCTGAACAGCTCGGTGTCCCCTTGTTTGATCATGTATGTGATTTGCTTCTTTGTGTCCGGATCATCAGCCTGGAATTAATTGCGTTTGCTTTAGGCTCGAGAAGGATGATTATTCGTCCAGAATTTACCACGTTCCTTCCACTACAATAGTAAAATGAGAATCGACAACGCAAAAAGTTATCCAGTATCTCGTATGAAATTAACGTGTCGCACTAATTCCTGGATGAAACATTTATTTTATCAACAACAAAATGTCGTTCGAGTGTATCATGATTTACCGTCACTTGAAGCACCGTGTAATCGGGCACATTCTCCTTAACTCGGGCTTCGTAGCTACTCTGATGGAAAACGGGAACTTCGTCTTCAACATCTATAACTTTCACGGTAACGGTAGCGGTAGCCAGACGATAATCTGGCGCACCATCTCTGGCAGTTACCACGAACTTGTATTCCTGAGGAATTAAATAAAATTCAATTTCTAGGTGCACTTGAAACTTTTCGTGTTAACTTTGCTTTTAAGATTAACGTATGAACCCTTCAACAGCGGAGTCTGGGTCAGTCGGGATAAAAACTTGCAAGACATATAGGTGCAGGAATATTAACGTAACTTGAATTGTATCATTTTTAAACGGAAGGGTTTTATATATATTGGAAGAATAATTTTTAGAGAAGCAGAGTAAAATTTGGAAAAATTAAATTAAATTAAATTAGGGATCTCTCCATAGTCTGCCATCCGAGGATTAACTTTAATTTTGAAACTTTTCTGTATTTCGAATAATACTACTAGTAATTGTTAATAATAATACTTGAAAATAATGAAAAAATTAAAATTAAGATCCCCTTAAATCTGGAACAGTCATAATTTCAATTTAATTTAGACTCCTTTTGATTTTCCTTTTGATTTGATAAATTTTTTCAATTTATGATAATCTTTCATTCAACAGATTTCATAAGATCGTTGATCTGAGTCACGATTGACCCGGCACGAACAGGTACTTACATCATTCTGCTCGTAATCCAGAACGATTTTCGTCAGCACGTCTCCAGTTTCAGGATCCACCGTGAATGGGATATCGTCCGGTGCAAAATACGTGATTTCAGCGTTAATACCTTCATCAGCATCTTCAGCGTGCACGCGGCCAATTAATTTTCGAGCTTCACCTTCTTTCACGGTGAATTCGTATGGCAAATCCACGAATTCGGGATTTTTGTCATTAATATCAGTCACTTTGATATTTACCGTCGCTGTGCTGGAGAGACCACCGGAATCTTCGGCCTTTATCAGCTGATAGATAAAATTGTAATTGGAGATCGAACTTTCAATGAATTGCCATTATTTCAGAAAAAAAATAATTTTTGGATTTATTAAATTACTTTATAATTCTTTTATACAGAAACTAACAGTGTCTGTGTATTTAATAATTATTTAAAGGATGCACGAGAGTCAAAGGAATTTGTGAAATTAACTTACCAGCTGATAACGGGTTAAATCTTCTCGATCCAATTTCCTTATAACAGTGATTACACCTGATTTATCACCAATCGCGAACTGGCGTAGATCGTTACCAGAAACTATCGAGTATGATACTGGATCATTTTCAGGATCAACTGCCTGTAGAATGAATATTAAATAGGTTCAAGGTATAAAACAATTTATATTTATTTATTATAAAAATGATTTTATAAAAGGAAAATAATCTTTCAAGAGATTGAATAATCCTCTTATGTAAAATGTTTGTTACTAATCATTTTATACTTTTTAATTCTACTTTACATAGCGTTACCTCCTTCCTGATAGATTAATTAAAAGATTAAAGCTTTTAGAAGTCAAGGGTCAGTATGGTACTCGAAGGGTTTAAGTTTCAGAAATGTGTGGGATTATCAGAAGTGGATATGTAGGAATATGTAGCAAAGTAGCAAATCTACGATACGGGGTAAGTTTGCTTGAGAGTAAACGAAGAGTTAGCGAGTTGCAAACTTTCAAGAGAGCATTAGCAAGTTCAAGGAGTATGTTTTAAAATCTAATGTTCAGTTGGTCTGTTTGTTTAACATACTTTGGTAAACTTCAAGATTTACTTAATTTCAGTAACCCCCTGATGTGTTACAATTTTCAAATTTCAAGATCAAAATACCCAATATCCAAAAATACTAGATCCAATGTACGTGATTATATTCCACTTAGATTGCTTTTACATTTACTAAGTGTTAAATAGTTACAAATACCAACTTTTATTGCACAATAATCATAATATCATCATTACAAGGTAATAACACAGTTCGCTAAGGGTACAACACAGCATCCTCAAGATCTTATTACGAAGAATAAGTAAACTGCTTATACGTGCTATTAGTAATCAAAGGGTTAAATTATTCCATTGTAATTAAGGATACTCACAGTAATTGTTGCGACCGTGGAATTAATCGAGGCTCCCTCGCTGACCTGCACCTCGTATACCGGTTGTTGAAAGACTGGGCTTCTAGTATTAGGTCCAGGGATTACGTTAACCTCGACGATGGTTTGGGAATACTTTCCACCCTTGTCGGTTGCTTGAACCGTAATACTGAACTGTTCGCCAGCGTTCAACTTCCTCACCGATTCGATCACACCGGTCTTCGGATCGATTTTAAATTTATGCAACCCGTTATTCGACACGTGATAAATGCTGTACGTTATCTCGGCGTTCTCCCCTTCGTCGTTATCCGTCGCCTCCACCTGATGGGATCCAGTGATATTGAATTCTTTGCCGTACATATGGTGCAGGTGTAAATGCGATTTTTATCGTATCTGGATGAAAGGGAATGAAAGGAAAATAGCGATGAAAAGAAGGGAAGAAGGGATACGAGGGAAGTGAAAGCTGTATGGTATTTATTTATTTGAATTTTATAGGAGCCATGAAATATTATAATTTTGGGTAAAAATTCATTGCCTTTTGATAATGTAGGTATTTTAAAAATTAATAATTTATAAATCTAAAAGAAAGTATTAGAAAATTATTAGAAAATTTGCACTGTAAATAGTTCCTATTCGATTACCTAACACATTTAATATTTGTCCAATATCCATATAATTTCCTAAAGAATTTTAATGAAAAATAAATATACAGTTGTTCCAATTATAGCGTTATAATTGAAGAACAATATTCATCTTATTCTTGAGAAGAAAAAAGAAATATCTTTTACTTCATCATAAAAGAAAATGGTACTTGAATAAACTATTATCTCCTTAAAACGTCTGTCCAATTCTTCCTGACATAGTATTGTATCCCTTATAACACCATTCAAATTTCTTCCTTTGTTACCATTAATATCGCAGAATTATTCACAGTGAATGTCTACCTACCTTTGTCACCACTCTCTTTGTTTCTCCAGCTTGAACAGTGATAGGAGCTATCATGGGAAGCATGGGAGCATTGTCATTAACGTCGTTCAATGTCACTACGAACGATAACGGCGCGGAAGCTGCGACACCCGTTTTTTCTCTGGCCACCACTTGAAACCGGAAACGGCCTGGACTCGGAGGATCCCGGTCCAGATTCTCTTCGTTTATGATTAGCACGCCGGTCGGATCGATCGCAAAGAAATTGGTGGTTAATTCGAACGTGTACGCCGGTTTCGGATCTTCTGGGCCCTAAATGACAGTTTTTATTATTTCATTTATGTAAATATTTTGCAAGTTTCGAGTTAGGAATTTTGGAACCGAATTAATATAAATTGCCACAATTTTTATTTAATTCTGTACTTCATATTATTTTCATTTTCTAAATTTTACTATATTCATTTAAGGATATTAAATTAGAAATTATTCATTATATTATTTTGCTATCTTTATTCTAAAATTTATACTGTATATTTGATTATATTTGATTATATCTCTTTTGTTTTATATCATCAAACCAAAACCTATTAAACATTTCTCTTGAAGTTCATCATTTTATAATATCTACAACTCATGTAAATTGATGAATGAATAACGAAAAGTAATTACTACCCCTAGTACTACATCTCCAAAAGAACCTAATATCTCGTGAATATTTATAACAGCTACACGTGAGACTACAGAGCATGCAAAGAAAGCTTTGATCAACAGAAACTTGTTGCAGTATTAATGAAATCTACAACGTATTTCATTTAATTTAAAATTGTCCCATGCAAGCGAAATAAGTCCTATATATCCCAAAGTTGATCAAACCTGAAGCAACATTCGAAACATCGGCCCGAAGGGGTACGTTCATTTCGAGAAAAGAGATCGTATCCACGTTCATTCTATCGGCGCATAAAGGACTTTGCAAATGAACGTGTGGGCGTATCCGCTCTTCCACGTGCAATAAAGTTGCTGAAAATGTGTCCGTTAACGACTGACCGAAGCCCGGTGCAATTGCATCGCGGCAGACTGTGCAGTACAGTTCCGGTTGGGCAATTTCGACGGAAATTGTCGATGTCTTGTTGAAATGAAACGCATCAGCCGTTATCTTTTTCGCTATTACGAGACTGTTACATCTGATTACAGCGGTTCAATAAAACGGACATACAATGAAAATTTTAAAATAATATTGCACAAAATTAAATTAAAATTATGGCTCTCTCCATGGTCCGCCGTTCGAGGGTTAAACTTAAAAATAGCTGCAGATAATAGATACTTCTAATTTTTATAAAAATTAGCAAGTGATTTCAATATTTTTTTTGTATGGTTATTGCATATTACGTCAGAGAATTTAATATAGAAACTTATGAAAGGATTTTCCAGCAGATAGACCGGATGAAAGGATTATTTTGCTCGTAGAAATTGGAAATCTCCGTACAAGAACGAGAAAGTGCAACGTTGCCTGTTGCAAATTTTATGCCAATGATAATCGTTGCTCCTTATCGGTAAACCTGGCTGCTCCATTTAACTCGCCAGTATATAACCACGATCTCTTACAACGATATGCTAATTTTACGGATATTCCTGGATAAAATATGTATTTCAGATTATGTAATCGACTTCCTCCCGTCATCGAAGAGGTGGCGAGTCGTTTTGAAATCTACCATGTAAATATTCATTTCTGTCCTCGTTGCTTAACCCGTCGATCCTTTCACCAATTTTTTTTTCTTTCCTTATACAATAATCGGTGTGATAATAAAGAAACGAAATTGTCATCCGCGAGTGATAAGGGAAATTAAGCGGTCAATTCGCATTTTATTTACGGAACGTTGAATAAATTAAATGCACTGATTGAACTTACCAAATCAGCATCCGAAACAGTGAGCACTATAGGATCACCATTTTTATCAATAACTTTTGTTCCAATAGGGGCATTCTCGTCCACGAAACCCTCCACGTTTGATGCCGTTATAATTGGAGGATTACTGTCTACTGGCTTCACTGTAATGGTCAATTTGGCTGTAGCTGATCGCTTCGCTTCGGATACTTCGACAGCCTATCGTGAAACAAACGAATAGATTAGTTAGTATTATTTCAGGATTTTGAATTTAACCAGTGTTCAGAAGATAAATTCGAATTCGATTGATTAACTTCGTAGAGTTCATTATTTTAAAAATAAAAACAATAACAAGCACTTTGGAGTATTTCTGTAATTTTTTAAATAAATTTAATGCCAATTACTATTTTAGCTATTAAGAATAAATTAAAGAATAAAAATTACTTTTTTATGCGTCTATTATAATTATGCAAGTTGAGAGTAACTAATAAAATAAGGTACCAAAAAGTTGGAAGAATTAAATTACAACTTCTTCTGGATGTCAAACTTTCTCCCAACAAATATTGGAACTTTATCAAAGTGTTCAGGACAAAGTTGGAGTATTGCAAGCGGAAAATAAGAATCTAATGGATCTATACACGAAATTGGTTTCCAAGGTAAAAGACGTTGATTACGGAAACTTATCGGTGCACCCTTGTATGGGCTCTTTTGTATATACTTTTAAATTACTTTTTTAATTGGTCTTTCCTACAGTTATTAAACTAAATAAAAATTGAAAAGAAAATATTTTCAATTTTTGAGGTCGATTATTACAATACTCACCTTAATGTTGATATCGAATTTCTTGGTCACCGTCGTGTCCACCGCCTTGATTTGCTTCACGGCGCCTGTATTTGGATTTATTTCGAAAAATTCTCGATAATTCGATGGGTTGCCACTGAGGAACGTGTAATAAATAGGCGCGTTTATACTGTCCATATCAACAGCCTGTATTTTCTCCGGCGATATATTGAGTATTCCGGATAACACTCCACTCGATACCTGGTGGGAAAAAAATGCACAATGCATAGAACCGGTTCGTCGATGGTTTACTATGGTGTCGCGTAAGATTTCAATGCAAAGAAATCGATCGTGTATTAAAGATGAAGGGTTGTTCGCTGTGTTTCGCTTCGCGATTCATGTTTCTTGCTAGGAGCGCAATGGAAAGTTACATCCGTTTCTGAGTACCCTATTCGAATAATCGTTTGAAAAATTATTAATAATTTCCGGAAAGATTTTTTTTAATAAAAAAGAGCATTAAATAATTTAATAATTCAATAATTTTGAAATAATAATGTCTATTAACAATTATTTGATCCTATGAAATTTAGTTTTCTTTTTTAAATTACAAAAATAAATTATTTTTCGAATGACTTTATATAAGGCATCCTTAATTATAAATTATAATGTAAGATATGAAATTTAATTCAAGGAAGACGAAATTGATCAGCTTAGCTCCTCCACGCCTTATAAGAATACCGTAATATTATACTGTGTAATATAATATAGTGTATTACATGATAATATGTTAATGCATTATAATTTAAGCAAATGAGATGCACGATATGATTACATAAAAGAGGATGTCCTACTTAAGGTTTCCCATTCTGAATACGCTTTGACACTTCGAATGAAAGTTTTAATTGGGTGCTTTGTGACTCACTATAGCAAATCTTGAACCTGACGTAATGGAAACGTTGAAATGGAAATGCTTTGTACGTCAGTTATACTTTTCGAGTTATTATACTTCACTGATAGGAAGCACGTAATCAATAATACGGCTACTTCTAAGAAAAGCAATTATTCTTACTTAAAATTGAGTGATTCAGAAGCTACTCATTATCATAGAATTTAATTTTTATTACTTTGTAATTCTTAGTCAAATAAGAAGATGCTTCAGAAGTATTAAAAGTTTGTAATATTTATGGAAAATTACAATCTAATATTGTGAATGTCTTGGAAATTATAACAATTTATATTTACGTGCAGTAAAATTTCTGTTTGCTATGGAAATTTTGAAGACAGGAGAGTTAATTAAATTATTTCAAATGACACATAAATTAAATGAATTTACATACAGATGCTGAATATTCAGGATTAATGCAAGCTCCATCCGAGAGCATGCAACCTTGGTAGATGAAGGAAGGATCCTGGTCATCATCGTCCCTAATGTTTACTGTCAAGGTGGTAGTAGATGTGAAACGTTCAGATATATTCCTTGCTCGGTCCTGTGAACAAACAGGATATAATTACACACTACATAATTATTATGTCCTGCTATCAATCACTGAAAAGAAAAAATTACATGCACGATTGAAATTATTTTTTATGTTGTAATGAATGTAAAAAGCTTAGAAGCAATTGATATAGGTACTATTTAATATCTTGAATACATAAAAGTAAATTGATTGAGATTTAATATAGTGTATAAATTAATGAACAATTATCCTAAATGTTACGATAAACATTTCTTTTCTTAAATTAACATCACATATTTTAAATTGTTGCCGGTGGATTCTTCAATAAAATTAAAATAAATTCTCAGTAAATTGTGTTTTTATTATAAGGAATATAATTTATATTCAGAAAATAGCTTTAATTTGATTAGTATTTCTAATTAGAATTTTCATTATTTGAGCTCAAGTTTCAACTTAAAATTTCAATTAAGTACGTTAACAATATTTACCGTTGTTTCAGTACGAAATTAAAAACATATAGAACATAAGGAGTAATTGGAAAAACGTCATTGCAGGAAAAAGATTAATAATTTAAATGAAACTGTATCACGTTCTTGGGAAAACAAACTTGTATCCGTGCGGATCGATATAGCAAATTTCAAACAGTAATTGTTGACACGAATGATTTAATTATTCAGCAATCAAATTGGGAAATTTATTTTTGTATCGTGTACGCGTTAGAGTGTACTTTATATACACGTTTGCGGATTCTGAAACGTATGGAGGAAGAGAAACAATAATAATGTCAAGTATCCCTTTGTGCTGCGAGTTCACGGCGGAATTGAAACTAGTTATTTCAACAGTGTTTCATATTTCATAAATCCAATGTTCATGCTTCAAACTGAATGTTGAAATAACAATTTCAGGGAGATATATGAAAGAATGTCTGAAAACAATTGTTTGATCGAGCATATGTTAATAAAACAAATATTATATTGCAATCTTCGTTTTCTAACAAAATTTGATGACATAAAAATGTCACAAAATAGCACTTGTTCGTTCCAATGAGAAACCATTCATTTTGAAAAAGAATATTGATGAAACCATTAGTGGTATTTTGCAATACTTTTGTCATAAAATTATGTCAGACTTTCTACATTTCACCGTTTGTTCCCTTGAAGATATTAAATTTGGGTTACAGAAGGTAATTGAAATTCTTCGTTCCATTTCCTTAAATCACTGGTTTCCTGTTTATCGACACTAAAATCGATAAGCAATTGGCTGGTGTACGCAACTTGTCGTTTTCTTGTTTCAAACTCGCCGAAACCTGTCGACTGAAAAGTTCTCGGAACTTGATGATCTTATGAGACAAACTTCTGCGATCGGTTTAGGAAAGTACCGATTACTGTCACGTATATGGCGAAGACAGCGCTGGTTGCAATTGTACATAAAGCAGCAAAGTTGGCGAGGAACAGCTGCGGATGCTATTGTCGCGTGTCTGATGCAACTGCAGGTTTATTGGAAGAGTTTGCTTAAGTTTGTCGCGATTTACATTAATCCTCGGACAACGGACCGTGGAAAGAACCCATGGAAAAGAAAACCGATTAAAATTCACTTGAATTCAAATATGAAAAGCAATAAAAAAAATTAAATTTGCATTCTTCTGCAAAACTGAACAAATCCTTTATTATTCAAAGAAATAAGAAATCCTGAGGTGACCATCGGAATACTAACATCACTTTAAAGAAAGATCGATAAACAATTCAGTATAGTCTGCACGTACGTAAGTTCCAGGTATATCGATGTCAAGAAGATTTATGTGAAAGGAAGGACAATGCGTCCAGAAGAAGTGGACCAGCTGTTCCACATAATATTCAAATGAACCACACCTGTAACAGCAGATGTTGCAACGGGTACTGCTTGCTAGGAAGATAGATTATAGGTTCAATATATGGCAAAGATTCACTATCATTGTACGTGATTCGTTTTATTGTCGGAATTGAAAGTGATACCAGTAACCATCAGTCTCCATCTCAAACGATGCAAAATGACCATTCAAGAGTTGGTATCTCAGTAACAGTTTAAAAGTAGATTGAATTTCAAACACTGCTGTATTTTTTTAATTCAAAATGTAAAACCTTTTTTATTTTAAACAGAATAATAAAAAAATTCTATTTTATAAATTTATTTAAACAGAAATTATATAGCACTAAAAGTTGTCGACATAATTAGAAGAAAATTTATAATTACAAATATTTGAAAAGTACAGTGATATGAAATTAGGTCGATGAATTAAGAAACGTTTTATAACCCGGTCATTACACTAATCGATTCAGTGAAAATTCTATAGTAAAATATAGCTTCCGAAAAAACGAAATAATTGCGAGGTTTATAAAGAAATAAAAAAAGAATTAAAATTGCTGACGTTCTCTGTCACGGACTATTGTGCTTCAGCAGTGACCTCGTGCGTCATCGTCACCTATACCACACTTTACCATTTATTTATCGCAACCTTCCACCACTGCATTTTTCAAGGAAAAATACTGCAGCATGCTCTGAATATTTCTCGGTTAAGCAAGCTTTTCAAAAAGCTACACGAACGATAGCATAAAAAAAGAAACGAAACTTGCAGGGTATCGATCGCGTTTCGCAAGGCGAATTTTATGACTGCGATTCTGAGGTTGCATGAAATTGCTGTGACTCTTGTACGATATCCTCAGCAAACGTAATGATGTCCTGGCAATTTCATTTCTCCGTTCAATGAAGGAGAAATACCCGTAATGTCGAGTCGATGGAATATCGTGGACCTTAAATGTTCCATTGTTTCTTTCCAATAAGAATCAGCCAATTTGTGTTATGAATATTAACGAAGCCTGTATACAGTCATTTTCGTTAATCTTCAAGCTTTAAATTGACATACCATAAGTACGATTTTGTGATAATTTTCTGTCATGAAATCGTATGTCATTCTTCCCATATTTCAAGATCCATCATTATTTGCTATAATCGACAACCAGCCATTTCCCATTAAAAACATCAATGAAGGATTTATGTAGCTATTTTTATCAAACGTTAAGCTACAAATTGATCTATCATACATGCTATTTTACAGTACTTTTATGTCAGACTTTCTATGCAGTTTGATATGCAACAACCTATAATAATAATTAAGAAGCATTTCACTTCTACGTGTACAACCTGTCTGTATCAAACTTCGAATAGGATTTGATCAGGAGAAAGTCACGCGGTTCCATCGTGTTCTGATTGATAGAGATGTTAATATAAGCTTATTTAATACCTGACCATGGTTGATGAATATACCATGAGGTACGATCGTTACATGCATCATTCGTTGTCAATGTTGACGCTAAAAGATTCGTGTAATCCGTGCACGATCAACATACCTGCTGGTCAGTCACCATTGAAACCACGTCGTCGACCCTTGGACAGAGGATTGTTACGATCAGGAGCACCTTTACCGGATCAAATGATTCCATTGTCGATTGCTTGTACACTTTTATCAGTTTCTTCGTTTCTTTCACTAACGAGCATTATTTCGCTCAACCACGAAATTACTTAGCAATTTTACTGTCCCGAGCTTAAAAGGTGTCCCAAGAATCCCGTGGATCGAGCAGCGATAAACGAATGACACGGTAGGTGTGTTTTTTGTGCCCTAGCTGGAACTGGCAGTTATTATGTCGCTCGTCAAACTGGTCATGCATCCTTAGCATTCGCGGTTAAACATCGTCGTTAAATTGCAACATTCTTGCGACGCTGTGTAAATCACCGATCTTTTGGGTAACTATGCGGGGCATATGTTCGGAGTATGAACTTGAATTATTTCACGAGGTATTCCATTGGGTGGCCAATTGATTAGAACAATTGTTCATTTATGGTTTGGTGTAGAGCAATTATTTTAGGAAGACTATTTGTGAAAAATACACGTTTATATATGTTAATTTTAATTTCTAATAAAAATTAGGAAATTCATGTGTTCAGTCATAATGACTTAAATCATAAAATTAAGTATAATCGTATACGTACTTAACCCTTGGATGGTGGACAATTTTATTTAATTTTGTAGTTTTGTAATTTAATATATCAAGAGCACTCAAGAATTTATTTATCTCAATTCTCTTTCTATTTTATTTAATAACTCCAGTTACAATCAACATGAAAATATTGACAAAAACATTCAATTTTTGGAGTATGTACTCAAACGCAATATATCAATCAATCAAAAAAGGGAAAAGAGAAAAATAATTAAAAGCGTGTGGAACAGTCAGCAAAACACTAGATTGATAGGAAGGCCTTTTTTCAGGAAAACAGAGGGAGAAGTTAAAATAGAAAAAGTTCTGAATAAAAGATAGAGAACATTTGACAAAAATAAAAAGAGAAGGCAATAAAAAATTTCATATCGATAAATAGTCCATTGTACAGTAACTGAGGTTAAAATAAACTAATAAAAAGCAAATAAAAATAAATAAATTCAATTCATTGCTTCCGCAATGAAATTATCCTCACGCAGAACATGTTCCATCATAACACCAGAATACTATACTGTTACAAAAAATGGTAACTTTATAATACGATGGCATGGAACATCGCGATACGCATGTATCACGTTCGAAGGGAAAGAAGCACGGGTACGCTTGGACGATTTTATCGTCGAGCCCCCCGTATGATTTCCTTCGGCGAACATTGTGTCTGTATTCGTTCTTTACAGAAATCGATCATCTGTACAGCCGTCTGTATAAGAGCGCCTTCAGGTTACGCGGCCGGTTTCCGGAAACGTCATGCGCACGCTACACCTTGCGCAATCTGCATAGAGGCTCGTTTTTCCACGGCTGGTTTCGTTGTCTCGAATCGAGATTACCGTGTAATTTTATGCGGTGCAAGTCTGCCCTCGCCGGGACGTTGTAATATGGCGCGAGACTCATTGTTTTATTGGAGCTCCGAGATTCAGTCACGCCGCTATCTATCTAATATTGCTGTTCGTTCGACGCGGAAGGAACTGATCCACGATCGGTAATCACCGTCTCGCGAGGTAC